TAATAAAGATAAAACAAATTAAATAATATCCCTCCCTTTCCTTTTTTGTCCGAGTCTAGACTAACTAACCACCGGCACCGAGATACTCTTTCGGACAAATAGAAGGGAGGGGAAAAAAAGCAACAGAATCACTGGCAATAACGTCGACGAAAAAGAAACTTGAACGTATTCGCCCCGGGCCCGAACCATGTGGCTCCAACGAGTTTTCCAACACGGACCCGTGTGGGTGGACTCGTGGACTCGTATCTGTTTTGTGTGACTGTGCACCGTATCCATGAGACCCCCTTCCCACTCCTCCTCCTCCCTGCGAAGCCAAGTCTTGATCTCGTGTCGTACAAGGGTGTGGATCATGCTGTCATCTGAACAACCTATCTCCTCCGTGCTCAACCAGCAACACGGCACCGGTGACAGGACAGAACTGCACTCGATAGGTGGCTGGACTGGCTGGAGCTGCGTGAGTGAGTGACATGTTCCTCCGAGACACGCAAGGCCGTTGACAGACTAGACTAGTCTCGAGTCTAGTCTTGTGCCTCTACGGAGTACAGTCTAGTCTAGTTCTGCGTGTGAAGGTTTGGGTCCGGCCGTTTGGATTGCTTGGTCTGGATTGAGGGGCAATGAATGGCTTCGTGCATAATTCTTTCCTGCAGACGTTACAGTGCGTAGGAGTATTTGCTGGGATTATGGAAGGTGAGGAACACTACCTACCTGCAGATTGCGTGCCAGTGCAGTATACCTGTCTATCTGTCTGGATCACGGTATCTGCTACTACTAGTACTCCGTACACCCCGCGTATATCCATATCTGCAGACTAAAGTACAGAATATACAATGTTAGACACTTTAAATTGATGAGGCAATGCAATGCAACTTATGCATACTGCCCAGTATTGTATGTAGATAAGCACTGGATTACCCTGTACGGAGTACTACTAGTCCTCTCTTGCCCTCTTGCCCTGCTAGTAGGTATTCTTCACGACTCTCCACCGCACTGCCCTGCATGAGATACATAACCCAAACATAACCCAAATTATTGGTATGCTCATTTCCCGGCAATATACTCCGAAAATTGAATTGACTCCCTTTCGCCACAATCCTGCCCTGCTTACTGCCAATGTCATCCCCTGAAGGACTCGAATCATACGATACATACCTACCCCAATCACTCCATCCCATCCTATCCCATCACGCGCCTCCCCTTCCGTAAAGGATGTCATGTCATGTTATCAACTTGAACGGTACCCCGTAAGCAACTTGAACTTGAAAGTACTAGCGCCATCCCGCAAGGACGAGCCCCATACTCCCTTAGTGCCATACTTACCAAGGTACTAGTGGGAGCATAGCGCAAGCATACCAGATCCGGAGAAAACAGCCAGTGAGAACAACCCGCGGCAAACCTGGCAAATAAAATGAAATTCAAACCAGCATTGCAGCGATGTAGATTACGTAGTCTGGAATAGAATCCGAATGCCATCACCTCGTACGGGGTATTCTCGGGGCCATTCCCCCAGTTTTTCCTATCTAGAAGGCGTTTGCGTCATTTTGCCTCTTGGAATTACTAGTAACTTTATCGCATCTTGATTAGTACCCTCGTTTGTTCCCGATCACCAGGACAGGACAGCGAACCTGCACCGATATCGAGCACTGCAAGTAACCATCACGCCACAAAGTCTAGTACGGAGAGAGCAGCCATGCTACACACAGGTAGTCTACTACTGTACGGAGTACAGTACGCTTCATCTGCAGCTGCATGCTGCATGCTGCCAAACGTAATCTCACCGGAATAACTGCATGAATCAAGGCAAAACAATCATGCCCAAGTTTCCAGTCTGACCTCACCTCACCTCACCTCACCCGACTAAGGTACATAGAAATGCCAACACCGGACCGCATACGTACCCATCTTGCAGCATAGTCCGTAAATGCAGCAGACCTGGCCGCCATGACCCCAAGAAATCGCAATCGCACCAATAGCCCACGCTAGCCACGCATACTCTACGGACACGGGCATCACCCCCTGTCTTCGATCGGCGACCCCTTGCGTTCGAACCGAGTGGTCGGGTTGAGGGCGACCACGCACCCCCTCGCCTCCCTCGCGTGTCGAGATTGCGGGGATTGGGTTGGGGGCTAGGGTAGGTGAGGAGGCGTTGAATACGGGGTTTGGGTTTTATTTGCTTTTTGAGGGGTTCGTGTTGGGGGTGCTGTTTGTTTGGCGCAAACCGGAAACTTGGAATTGGAATTTGGGGGAGGTCTTGCTTAGGGGTGGACTGGTTGGGGTTGGATTTAGTTTCCTTGTTTTTGTTGGTTGGTTTGGATGGGATGGATTAGGGCTTGAGGCAGCAATCTAGACATAGATGAGTTACTAGTACGGAGTACTTCACGGAGTACTTCACGGAAAACGGGCTTTATACATGTCCCAGCTTGGTTCAAGTTCGTTCAGTCTGGATCGAATGTCTTTATGTATCATTAGGAGAGAATATAAGTACAAGTACAAGTACATGTGCAATGCCAGAATAGAATCGAATCGAATCAGCTTCGTGTTAGTACAATCAACGCCATTGCTCGCTCAAAATGCAAAATGCAAACTACCCCGGCGCACCTAAGGAGATGAGCGCAGCACCTCAGTCAGAGCAGGGTCATCGCTAGGAATCTCCTTGGTAAACCCACTTCCTCGTCGCACATGCATCAGAAGTCGAAGTGCACCGGCCGGCGTAACACCTTCAATCCGGCGCGCCATACCAACACTAGAAGGACGCACACGCTCCAGCGCCTGCTTTTCCTCGTTACTGATTCCGTTGATGAGACTGTAGTCCAAATCAGCGGGCAAGAGCAGATTCTCATCCTGCTGGAAACGCTGCGCCATTTTTTCCTGTCGCTTTAGGTAGGGGGCGTAGCGGCCCTCGATAGCGACGCGGGTTCGGATTTCCGGCGCGAATGATGTCGCCGTGTATGTTATGGAGGAATCGATGTGCGGGATTAGAGTGTCGATGTTGGCTCCGTCGAGGCAGAGGATTTCGAGCGCGGAGCGGACGGATGTGTCTGCGCGAACCTTGAAGCCTTTGCGGGACCAGGCTGTTGAGGACATTCTGGTTTTTTCGAGAAGGGATTGTAGCTCTTTGATTTGGGCTTCTGTGTCTGTGAATGCGGTCCAGCGACGGTCTGAGATTACGCCTGCTTCACGGGCCATGCGGGTGAGTCGCAAGTCGGCGTTATCAGAGCGTGTCGAAATGCGGTATTCGCTGCGCGTTGTGAACATTCGGTATGGCTCTGACACTCCCTTTGTGATTAGGTCGTCGATCATAATGCCGATGAAGCCGTCGGATCGAGTAAGAGTCATTGGGGCGCGGTTTTGCGATTCCAGTCCGGCATTCGTGCCGGCGATAACACCCTGACCAGCTGCTTCTTCGTACCCGGTTGTGCCGTTGATTTGACCAGCCAGGTACAGGCCACTGATCAGCTTTGTTTCCAGGGTTGGGCGTAGATTTCGAGGGTCAATGTAGTCGTATTCCACTCCGTAGCCTGGCTGAAGCATCTTGACATTCTCGAGACCGCGCACAGTTCGCAGCATAGCATATTGCGCATCTTCTGGAACGGTCATGGAGATACCATTGGGGTAAATGACTTCATTCGGCGCAAACCCTTCCGGCTCGAGCCAGATCTGATGTTGCTGTTTATCCTTGAATCGCATGATTTTCGATTCTAAAGATGGGCAGTATCGCGGTCCCCGGACAGTCTCTCTAATATGCACCGACTTGTCCAGGTTGGCGCGGATGATCTCGTGAGACGCCTCGTTGGTATGTGTCATCCAGCAATTCAGCTGGCCTTCGTCTCCGACGTCGACAGTGTCATTGAGATAGGAGAATGGCATAGGAGGCGAGTCTCCCTTCTGCACTTCCAAGGCCGAAAAATCAATCGACTTCATGTCCAACCGAGGCGGTGTTCCGGTCTTCAATCGGCCGAGTTGGAATCCCGCGTCACGGAGGGACTTGCTCAGCCCATAGGTCGGCGCTTCACCCATACGACCAGACGGGAAAGTCTTCAAGCCAATATGAATCTCGCCACCCAGGAATGTGCCCGTGGTGATAACCACACGACCAGTGGGAATAACCTCCCCAGTCTCCAAGCGGACGCCGACAATTTTGCCCTGCGCCCCGGGCGTATTTTCCACACCTTCCTTTGAAACAACAATATCCGCAACCTTGCCCTCCACAATATTGAGGCCGGCCGTATTGACCAATTCGTCGGTCATATGTTTCCTGTATAGATCGCGGTCGATCTGCGCGCGCGGTCCCCACACAGCGGGGCCCTTGGAGCGATTCAATACTCGAAACATGACGCCAGCTTTGTCGATGATTCGTCCTGCGACACCGTCCATAGCATCAACCTCGCGGATCATCGTTCCTTTGCCGATTCCGCCGAAACTGGGGTTGCAGGAGCAGACTCCGATATTTGAGAGCGAGGGCGTTACGAGAGCGGTGCGGGCTCCGGATCGAGCTGCTGCGGCGCATGCTTCTGATCCGGCATGCCCGCCTCCAATGACGATGACATCGTAGGGTCTGTTTGAAGGGTTGGGTTAGAAGTGTGTCTCTGTCTCGATCTGCATGTTCAAGGGGAAGTTACGTACTGCGTGCCGTTGGCGACGGTCGCAAGCCCACGAGGCCTGCCTACCGACAAAGGAATTCCAATGCGTCGGCGCAAAAGAACGACAGAACGCGCTCGAAAGGCCATCGGGAAAAGAGTGTGTTTGAACGAGTATCTGGAAAGCCGGGTTGCAAATTGACCTTCACAGCCGGGGGATGCGGCGATAAGATAAAAATATTGAAAAAATCACGTGGGATAAGGTACGGCCGTAAGTAGCCACTTTGCGCCATCAGCCCAGCCAATTGCGGGGCCGCAGATATTCAGCGTTGCGAATACTTATAAGCCCATCTCACCCGGAGCAAGTCTGCTTACTTCCAAACCAAACCCCTTTCCCTGAAATATTTACCCTCGTACATATTTACCATGCGCGCATACTGGTATGATAACAAGCCGGTAAGTCCCCCCGTCCCCCATTCAATTCCATGCCTTAGCATTCATTCCCCCTCCTCTTCCCCACCATCCGATGACGCAACACTAATGCGTTTTTTTGTTCATACAGGGTGATCAGCGCGAGCCCCATGACTCCGGCCGCGCCGTATCCGAAGAAGTCCTCGCCAACCTAGGCGTTCTGTACCACCACTGCCCGACAATCGAGGCGGTCGATACCCTGGCCTCGGCGCGCGGGTACAAGAACCGCGACCAGGTTTGCGTTTCGCCCGCGACTATGGGTGATGTCTACGAGGAGAAGGTGAAGATGTTCTTTGCGGAGCATTTGCATGAGGATGAGGAGATCCGGTATATCCTGGATGGGGAGGGGTACTTTGATGTGCGGGGGCAGGAGGATGAGTGGATTCGGATTTGTCTGAATAAGGATGATATGATTATCTTGCCTGCTGGGATTTATCATCGGTTTACGACTAATGAGCAAAACGTATGTTTACCCTGTGCTGGAAGTTGGGGGTGCAATGACTAACTAACTGGTTTATAGTACGTCAAGGCCATGCGTCTCTTCCAAGACGAGCCTAAGTGGACTCCGCTGAACCGGGGCGCTGAGGTCGATGGTAACCCTCATCGCAAGAGTTATGTGGATACTGTTCTGCAGACTACTGCTGTGTAAAATAGATAGATATCTTGCCAGGGGCTTGTTAGACTCGATTCGTTGGGATTGAATCTTGGAAATACATAATGATTGATGGCTCTTTCAATAGAGGAGTTGACCCTACCAGTAGTTCCGGTAGTATCCATTATCTTTTTAACTACAAAATGCTACAAAAACAGAGCAATGCCCATGTCCAGTAACAATTATATGCTAGCCGACGTGTGGTTTGACTGTGTTTGTGAGGATCAACTTTATAGACCTCGGGATCTGTACATACTTTGATTCTAACTCCCAGCATAACAATATAATATAGCAATAATTAACAGACCAGCATAAAAATATCTCATTCTAAAGAGATAAGGGATAAGAGAGTAATTAATTCAATCAATATATATTATAAAAGTCCAAGAAAAAGCTAAACAAAAGCATTATCCCAAGTCTAGCTCTATTTTCGCCCTCTGTGACCTCTTTTGCATAGCTCAGAGATATCCATGCACTAACCAGTCCCTTCTCCAGGGCGTCCCCAGATTCCTTCAGGCTGGTAGCGTAGAAGCTACCCAATTCACAACTACGGACAAGGATCGTGAGATATCCGAACCTCCTAGCCTGATAGAATACCTTGAGCACTAAATCAATTCATTCCTTATTCCAACTTACTATATAAGCCAATCCCCAATGCTATCCGTAGGCACTGGCATCAGCATAACACAGAATAGATCTTCACCAAATCAATCACGAGGCACAGGAGTCCCCGTAGGAGTCCCCGCCGGCATTCCACCAGGCATCTCAAACCGATCACTCCCCGCACCACTATCCTGCCGCGTCATACTAGCACTGCGCAACCCACCCATATCCATATTAAAACTACTACCCCGCGACCCCGCCAATCCCCCCCAACCTCGGATCCAGCGGTCCACGGAATCTCAACCCCTCCGCCTCACTATCGAAGCGTATCGGGCCCTCTGCTGACCCCGCGCTGCGCGGGGGCGCGGTCGAGCCGGCGTCTGAGTCTTCGCCTGTACGTACGCCCGTTCGGCCCATTCGCGGCCAGAGATCTGGGAGGCCGACGACTTGGACGCGTGGCTCGACGACGCGCTCTTCGAACCAGGCGTGCACGCGCGCTTCGACGAGTTGGGCTACTTTTGGCACGTCTTGGAGGCGGCTGCGGGAGCCGATTAGGGAGCGGACGGAGAGGTCTAGGCGGTAGTCTGGTAAGAAGGAGAAGGCGACGTTGCTCTTGGGGCTGCTCTTTGGAGGATTTGTGTCGCGGGACTCGGTTGAGCCTGGTGAGCCCGGGAAGGGGTTGGAGGGTTCTTGATTCGGGCCTGGCGATGTTGCGGGTGTGTGGAGGCCGACTGGGTCTGTGGATGCTGGGATGAGCGATATGCATAGTGTTCCTGAGAAGCGCACGACTGAGACGGAGAGAGCGACGGGTAGGATGGCGGAGCGGGCTTTCGGGTAGTTGAGGACTAGTTGGGTTTCGACTGCGATTGATAGGTTGTCATCGCTGAGGTCGACGTCCAGGAGGGCTTGGAGTCTGCCGCCGTCGGCATTGGTGGGGTCGTCGACAGCGATGATGCGGCAGTTGCTGAAGATGGGGAATTCTTCGCCGAGGGAGATGTCTGTTACGGTGATTTTGTCGATGAAGCTCGGTTTCTTTTCCGGGTTGTTCATAGATGCGTTTAGGGAGCTTAGGATTGAGGAGGTTGGGGAGTCCTTGAGGGAGTATGCTGTTTGTCTGTATTGCGCTATTGTTTGCGCGATCAATACGTTAAACCAGTCCAGGGACTCGGGCTGGTGGGAGGAGTGGTGCATCCGATGGCGGCCATGTTTGGCCGGGTTGGTTGGGATGGCGCTGTAGTATGTCTTTCGTAGGATGGAGCGGGTGTTTGTGGAGGAGGCGGGCACTGGACGGAGGACATTGGAGTTTGATGGTTTCTCTCGGAGTGTCTTTTGGTCTTGGGTTGTGTTGTAGACTGAGCTGTAGCGGCGGTGGGTTGTGCGATTCGACAGTCCGCGCGACGGGGGTGGTGGTGCTTCGCCGAAGATGAAGAACTTGATGAAGGCACCGATGAGAAGCACTACCGATAGTTGGCCTAGCAAAAATCCCTGGGTGAAAGAAAGGCTAGAAGGGAAGTTGAAGTTAGCAATCTAGATGTCCTTGCTCGGGGCTCCCGGACATACGAGGATTGCGGCGCAACCGCGATGGGCAGCTCAGCTGGAAAAACAAGTCAGTTGTGAAATTCGAGCAATGATAGCAGGAAAGGACGTACGTTGTGGAAGCGCCATTGGTTCAGGAGTTCGTCAAGCGTCCATCCTTGGAGAGTTGAGGTTGAAGTCAACTTTCGGTGGAGTGGAGTGAAGTGGATCTTTCCAAGTTGAACCTTGGCCGAACTGCATGGCTGATCCAACTCCAACACTCACTCTACTTGGTAGTTGAAAACTATTGTTGACACACTGTCCTTTCCAGATTCGCCCCAATCTGGTCTTATTTTTACTATAACGCTTTCAGCCATCTCTCACTACTCAACTCCCCCACAACTGTTATGCGATAGCTTCCACCTCCACCTCCACCTAACCTAACAACCATCATCGTCATCATGCGCAACCTAGGCACAGCTCTAATCGCCCTGGCCTCACTCCTCGCAACACCAGGGACATGCGCAAACCAACCACCCGGCAAAAACGCAATTCTCCTCTCCAACGTCCAAGCCTTAACTCTCCGCGCCAATCGCGACACAACATCCCGCCGCGTCTCCGCCGCCCCCCAACTAAAATGCATCGGCCACGAGAAGATCTGCGCCCTCTACGAAATCGAAACAATGCGCTGCAAAAATGAAGGCTACGACTACGACGAGGAAGATATCCAGTGGACCTGCACGGCGCCCCTTCCGTCGGAATTCAAGCTCGGCTCCACGGACGTTATTTGCGAGGGGTATCGGAATTCCGACGATCCGTGGGTGTTGAAGGGGAGCTGTGGTGTTGAGTATCGAATGCTTTTGACAGATGAGGGGGAGGAGAGATTTGGGAAGGAGGTTTATCGTTCTGGAAGTGTGACGAAGAAGGACACGGTTACGGTGATCTTTTGGGTGCTCTTTATTGGCGTGTTGGTTTTTATCGTTGCTGCGGCTTGTCGGAGTGATACTCCAGTGGCTAGGGAGCAACGACGACGTCGATGGGGGTGGGGAGGTGGTGGAGGAGGAGGAGGGGATGATGGTTATTATCCACCTCCGCCGCCTTACAGTAGTAGTGACTGTTCCTCTGGTCAGAGTCAAGGGTGGAGACCTGGTTTTTGGTCTGGTCTTGGGGCCGGTGGAGCGGCGGGATATCAGATGGGAAGGAACAGTGCTCGTGGGAGCCAGCGAGATTCTTCTAGGTATAACGATCCTGGAGAGGGTAGTTCGCGGCGTTCAGCGACGCCCTCGTTCTCGACGACCACGACTGGGACAGGGTTTGGATCAACTCGGCGCAGATAGGTGAGGTGGTCCATTGGACGGGGAGGGGAGATGGCGAACTACAAATCAGATGATAATGAATGAACACTTGCCGAGAGCAAAAGGAACAAGATATATTTCTTGGTACTAGTAATGGGGAAAAAAAATAAGAACTTGACGCGAAAGCACTAAGCTAGAGTCACCTGTGTGTGTATCATTCCCGACCCAAAACGCCAAACCCCGAAAACCCCCAAAAAAAGAAGAACCCCGTATCTATGCAGCGTAGAATCCAGTATACAACCATGACATGAATCGATTAAAAGGCAGGGATCTCGTCAATAGAGCCCAGAACTTCCTCGGTACCACCGCCAGTATTCTTGGCAGCTTTCTTGCTGTTGCGCTTGCTCTTAGCAGCGCCTTTGCCCTTGTCGCCCTTTGAATCCTCTTCGCCTCCAGCCCCGGTAGGATTGCGCATCATTTCTTCGTGCAGCAGCTTTTCTTTTTCGTGCTGCTCCTCAATCACTCTCTTTTCTTCGTCGAGTTCTTGCTGAATGAGCTTGGGGTCGTCATAAGTCTGGTTGGTCATTGCAGAGTATTCTTCTATGTCGATGACCTCTCGTGGGCCGAGGAGGGTGTCTTTAATTCTTTGTGGATCGCGACGCTCCTCATTGTTGAATTTGAGCTTTATCTGTCGACGAGATCGGCCGGGAAACATGTTGCTGATGACCATGAAATCGGTGCCAAACATGCGAAGTCCACGGTAGAATAGATCCGTCATTTCTTCATCCCAGCTTTCGGTCTTGGACCGTTTGCCGTAAGTGGCTTGGTTGACTTTGCGGGTAAGCTGGTTCTCCACCACGTCTTCTAGATCGCCCGCATCTCGGGCAGCATCAGCGTGACGATCGACTTCAAGCGACGCAGTGTCGAGAACGATCTCTCCATTCACGATACGCATGACTGGGCCTGCGGCGGGTTTGGGGGGTTCGGAAGACTGCTCCCCTTCCGGAGCTTGGCTCTTCATGGGGGTTCCAGTAGTGGATGCTGCTTCCCCCTGCGCTTTTTGCTTCGATTCCAGTTCCACCTGCTCCAATCGCCGTAGCTCGACCTCTCGTTTGGACTTTTTTCCAGTTTTCAAATCTTTGCAGAGCTCTGACATCTTCATCACGTTGGGCAGGATTTCCACGGTCTCCGCATCGTCCGGTGTGGGTTCGCGTTTTCGACGAGCTCGCTTTGCCTTTTCAGAGCCCTCGGCGTCGGATGCGCCGGTTTTGGATCGTTGTCGTTTGTTGGGTTTTTTCCCCGCTTGGCTTGGATCCGGGGTAGACGGCGCCAGTGATCCTCCCGGTGTCTCGCCAGTGCTGTCAACGGTGGGGCCCACTGACATACTCACTTGGGACCGACTCTTTTGCCGGGACTTGGTGATCTCTGAGGTTTTCTTTGCATACTTTGTCGGCCGGTACTCGACCGCATTAAACGAAGGTGCGGGCGCAGAGGCGGGTGCGGAGGGTTGGACGACGGTCGACCGCGGTGAGGCGGGTTCGTGTGGAGCTATGGCATCGTCTGAGAACTGCACAGACGCAGAGGAGGCACCGCGAGCCGCACGTATTTCGAGATCATCTTCGATCGAGGGAACTATCTCCGATTCGAGATGGGGCTCGACTGCCGAGGCGGGGGGAGAAGGCGGAGCATCGGATGCGGGGGTAGGGATATTATTCGGTTCTTGTGTAGCAGGAAACGCGATGGAGGCTTTGCGCTTGGGACGGGGGATCGGAATTGCAGTTTTTGGTTGTGAGGGAACCGAGGGATGCTCTTGTGAAGGTGTAGGTGCAGCTGTAACTGCAACTAGTGGGGTGGTTTCAGGGATCGCCGTTTGTTCGGGCTCCACAGAGGCAGAGGTAATCGATGGAGGTACAACAGAGCCAACAGATCCTCGGTTTTCGCGTTCTTGTTGGGAGGTTTGCGCGGCTTGGGCTGCTTGGGCCTGTTGGACTGCGCTTGGTCGTCTTGCAGCTGGCGCAGGCGCAGGTGCACCGCGGCGGACGGGCGCCTTTGGGGCGAACTTTTTGCCCGACTTGTCTGTGGCAGATGCCGTTAGCACACGGAATCATCCATCACAATCACAATCACAGGAAGACATACTAATCGCAGAACTCGAAAAGGACTTCATTGCTGTCCGTCGCTGGGCGACACGGTTAAGTTGAAGGATCTCCGATGTGAAAAGTCACCAAAACGGGCGAGGTGGGTGAATGGCCGGTCACGTGAGCAATGCGGTCGCGAAGGCAAAGCCAGGAGGAATTCTCCAACGCTCTCCTTCCCAAGGGTTCTTCAGTCTTAACCACAACCCGCCCTTTCACACCCACGCCCTTAGATTTCTCTTTCCCACCCGAACAACACGCTCACTGTGAAATATTCCCCCTTCAAATTCGCCAAGGCCTCGTCTTTGTCAGAATTGGACACGGTTGCGGACCTCGATTCATCTGACGGACGGTTCGGTGGTGACGATAACCCCCCCTCTCATGTCAGTCTAGCCACTGATGCCAGCCGCCGAACCCCCCGTTTTGTCTTCAGAGTCCGGTCTCGTGAAAATGGAAGACCGGAAGAGGCCCGCCGCGGACAGCAATGACTCCGCCCCGCCATTGAAGAAGCAAGCAACCACCGTGAATGGTGGGAGCAAACCTCACCCTGATGCCGATATGCCATGGAAAGATGATCTCGAGGTATGTCGTGTGTCCCATTCTGCTCAGAGTTGAAGACCTAAGGGTGTCTTTAACACTCATATCCATCACAGCGCTGACGATGTACCCCTCCCTGATAGCGATTTCAAAAAGATGCGATTTTACGGCAGATGCAGGAATTCAAGCGAGACAAGCAGTCGTTGGAATCGCGTGTGAATGAAATGTCAAAGGCCGCCAAATACCATGACAGCCACTTGCGGGTTATCGATTCTTGGTACAAGCAGGTAGGTTTGACGTGCCAGCCTTGGCACTCTTTCCATTTGAGAATAGCAGCGACTAACAAGACAAAAAGTTGATTGACGAGATGAAAATAATCTTTGGGTCTGAAGGGGTTACGAAAGGTTAGCGGTCCATTTTGAAGGAGTTCTAGACATGCGTGGAACCACCTTACTGACATAATGCACAGAACCCTCTTTCAAAAGTGCCTTGCAGTTTGAAGATATGGAAGGATTTGAGGCGCATTTGAAAACACGATCAGATGATATCCGCGACATTATATCTCATTTACCGTCGAAATCGGCAGATGTGTCTCCCGACATGGCAGATCTGCAGAGTCAACTGGCCAAGAAGCTCGCCGAAGAGAAAGTAACAATCGCCAATCTTGAAAAGGCCCTAGCCGACAAGCAACAAGCCGAAGAGAGCCTCGAAGCAGCATCACTACGATATATGGTTGCGGAGAAGAAACTTGATCGGGCGAGGAGCGTCACAGTCGCCAAGCTTGAGAAACAATACATTCTGGGTGGCTCACGGCCAAACACCGAAGCTTCCCAAGCGAAACGCGAAGAGTCATCGCCCGCGAACGGTGGAACTCCTGTCGGAGACCGCAGTGCCGAATTGGAAGAAACCAATACGCGCCTAACTGTGGTCTCTGAGAAACAGAAGGAGCAGTTGCAAAAGCTCGAGGCCGAGAATACCACCTTACTCAGCCAGCTCAACGAGCAAAAGATCAAGGTAGTTTCCGAATTCCCCGCCACTCAGGTCGATCTCTTTGAACTCCCGCTGACGAAATATTTCTAGTCAACCAAGCTCACCAATGACGACTATGCCCACACCGACCTTTTCAAACAAATCCGATCACAACATGACGATGTGGTGAAGCGTATCAACCACCTAGAAGCAACAAATACTCAACTGCGTGAGGAGGCTGAAAAGCTTCGCTCAGAAAGGGCAGCATATAAAATCGAGATGGAGGAGGAGTTTCAAAGCACCACTGCGGAGAAGGAAGCCCAATTAATGAGAGCTGAAACCGATTTGGCGCGGATACGAAATGCCCGTGACGAACTCCTGGCCGACCAAAACATCCGCAAGGCCGCTCAGGATCAAGAGAAAGCCACAGGCACAAAACTGCAAGAGCTAGCGGACGCCCGTGAAGCCCGAATCACAGCTTTAGAATCGGAGATTGAGCGGCTGCGACTGCAGGTTGACGGGGCCAAAGCTGCGGAAAGCTTGACGGACATGCCGGTGGAGGAGCTTCGCTCCAAATATACCAGCCTAGAGCGCCAATATTCTATGCTCAACTCCGAGTTGACTTCTATGCAAACAGCTTACAAGAAGAATGCGACCCTAGCATCGCAGAAGGTTGCCGAGCTTGGCGCGTGGGAGGAGAAGATTAATCGTCTCAAGGCGGAGAAAGCAAAGGCGGATCAGAAGTATTTTGCTGCGATGAAGAGCAAAGAGGCCCGCGAAGCTGAAGTCCGCACACTTCGCGCGCAGAACCACAAGACATCGGACATTGTCTCACAACTCAAGGAGTCGGAAGCTGTCACACGGTCTTTGCTATCTAATATGGATAAGCAAGTCAGCGAGACCAAGGAGTCGCTGAATTCCACACTCGAAAAACACCGTGCCATTCAACAGCAGTTGACGGAGCGGGATATTGTTGCAGATGGACTCAAGAACCAGATTGTTGAGCTCAAGACTTTGTCGACTTCGAAGGACTCGGCCCTCGGGGAGAAATCGTCCGCGTTGCGACAAGCCGAAATCGAAATTGCGGGTCTCAAGCAAACTCTTTCCGACACCAAGAAGAGTCTCGAGAACTGGAAGGGCAAGAGTTTGGGCAACAGCTCTTCAGAGTATGAAATGTTAAGAGTGAGTTTCACGATGGCTGCACTAAATAACCTTAACTTGTGTGAATGGGTCCGCTAACCTTAATCTAGACACTTGCATTATGCACGGTCTGCCGACGCAACTTCAAGAACACGGTCATCAAAACTTGCGGCCACGTCTTTTGCAAGGATTGTGTTGAAGAGCGCCTCACGTCCCGCTCGCGCAAATGTCCCAATTGCAACAAATCGTTCGGAAGCAATGACCACATGCATATTACTCTGTGATCTGATCCAACACCTCCCCTTATTTACCCCCCTTCCAAAATTCCCCTTCGTGTATTATATCCCACCCTTTTTGTTCTTTCTTCTTCTTCTTCTCCTTTCTTCTCTTCTACCCATTCTTCCTTTCCATTTTATTTTTTATTTAGTGGTCACTTCGGACAGGTCCATGGTGCGGTGTTGGCTGGTTTTCTTCTTTCCTGGGATATGGGCTGGGACCGGCGTTTGACGAGTCATGTGAGCTCTATGTTCTGTTTTCGTCTCTGTCTCTGTCACTGTGTTCTGTCTTGTTCCAATTTCATGCGATCGTATCTAGATCGACGCATCGGCGGTTTTGTGATCTCATTGCTTCGGCTTGCAAGGCGCTGGTGGCGCTGGTGATGCTGTGTAAGCAGGTTGCGTGTGAATCTCCTTGTCTGTCTATTCTGCTCTTGGATAATCCTCGGAACCCCGGCGTGTTTTGGTGTTTGAATGAGGCCTTGGTGGTTCTTCTAGCTTTAGATCTCTGTTATGTAGGATTATTTGGATTGGGATTAGTCTGACCTTAGGGGTTACCCAAGAGGATCAAGATTAAGATACGAATGTGAAGCAAAGCATACCATACAGCAATACAAGGCAGATTCAAGTTCAGTCCAGTTCAAATTCAGTGATATATTCGTACAAGTTCATTCATTTATTTATTCTTATATTATATTCCCCACGGAGATCCCTTCCAACTCAAGAGTTGAAAATCCGACTATAGAGCAGCTCATGCCGTCCAACCCACAAATCCAACGCAGGAACAACCTGCCCCGCCTCCTCAGGCTCAGTGTTCCACTCCCGCTCAATCCGCCCCATAATCGTATCCTGCAGACTCTGACTGGCGAGGATATTCTGCGCCTGGTACGGGCCCATCACGGACGCGCGCACCGCAGCACTGAGAACGGCCTTGGCATGGTTCAGCACAAATGTGTACGCTGTTTGTTGCAGGTCCAGGCCCATGGCCCGACACGTTACGCCCCACAGCGGCGCGAAGTGGCCCCGCGGACCGAGGTCGTACTCGTCCACGTCCTCGAAGGAAGACTTGAGTGCGGAGGAGAAGTCATCGATGGCTGTGATGGCAGATGCTTCGGCGTTGTCTGCGTTGCCGTTGGCGTGCTCTGAGGCAAAGCTCACGCGAAAAGCGCGTTCCCAGACGCCTAGTAAGGCGCGGCCCTGGGCGACACTCGCGCGCTGGGCGACGATGCAGGGTGTTGAGGCGTCGAGGTCGTTGTCTAGGGTTTCGAGGGTTTCGGGACGCCGGTAGCCGGCGAGCACGTAGGGGAGGGATGTGCTTGCGATAGAGGCGATTGATAGTTTGAGGAAGTGGTGGAAGGATGTTACTGGGTTTGTGCGGCGAGATGGCTTGTTGTGGGCGAGGTAGGACTCTAGGCCGCTGGAGTAGGCGAATGAGCCAAGTGGTAAGGCGGAGTCTGAGAGGAGGAGGAGAGCGTGGAGAGATGAGGCGCGGACTGAGGAGGGGCGGAATAATTGGTCGTTTGTGTTCTTCTTAATTGTGGTGTTGGTGGTGTTATAGGGCATTGTCCAGGACTTGTCTGGGTGGGATGATGGTGGTGTGGGATATGTGGAGATATCAAGCTGGGCACGCATGTCGTGCAGGCGGGCCTCGAGTTGGGCAATTTCGGACTCGAGGTCCTGGGGGCGGTCTTCGAAGAGCATTGTATGAGTGTATGTATGTGTATGGGTATAGGTTTAGGTATAGGTATGGGTATATGGTATAAAATAATTGAAGAAAGTGCGAAATGTGGAAGATGGAGTAGAATATAAGGAATATCTCGGGGCGATGGTGGAGAGGTACAAGTGGATCATCGGAGAATGCCGCGTGCCCCCGGCAGATTCTCTATCAACCACGACAGTCACCAGAATTATTCATTCAATTCCACTTGACCCACTTTCAGATTGGAATTATTCGATTGAATTACTCGATCACTTCTTCTCTACCGCCCTATTCTGCCCTGCACTCCACGGCTCCACTGTATTCTTATTCGACCTTGAATTATATCCTCCCATCCAACCATGTCAGGCAGGCGTCTGCTGGACACTGTCCAGTTCCTCAATGTCTCCAAGACAATTGCTTTGAAACATCTAGGCATCCGACAACGCCAGCTTGATGTCTATACTCGAACTTCCTCCCTCACCAAGGGTATCAAGGCTCAAACTGATGGGTTGATCCTGACCGCACAAGCCGCTGCCGCTTTGGCTCGTCGGTTCGATGACTCGCCACCAACCCCATCTTCCTCTCCCTCCCCTTCGTCGCCGAGTACCGCATCCCCCGAAGCTTCGGCCAACTCCTCCAACCCCCAGACCTCCACTGCAACCTCAACCCCTGAGAATGCAGCTGCCACTGGAACCTTGCAGCCTGAGGCTGAAGCTCAATTTCAGATCCCGGCTTCGGCCGCCCAATATACTGGCACTGAGACGCAGACACCAAGTGGTCTGAACGTCAGCCAACAACAAGATGTCTTTTACGAACCCTCGCAGACCTCGAATACTTCCGATCTATCCGGACTCCCCCCGAGTAAAGCTGCCCAAGGCATCTGGCACGGTCCAAGTCCAAGCTAGTGTCGGCAAAGGCCTGAATGCCGACGTCTTTCATTCCGCCGATCGCCCGGAAAAGTCGGCATCGGCGGAGGTGGAGTCACAACAGAGTGAGATCCCGGATGGAATGGTCGAAGGTCTATTCCACTCCCCGAGAGTCTCTCGTATGCTTGCTGGCAAATCGAAGCCGAAACGAGACTGGATTCCTGCGACAAAGCCCGATGACGTGCCAAGGAAAACTGCGGAGGCCGAGAGTCTCAAGGCCCATGACATCCCAGAACTGTTACAGGAACTGGACGCCGCTGGATATCGCGCTACTACTACTACCGAACCCACTGCGTCATCACCTGGCGCCGCACCCACTCCGATCCCCACCCCCGAGGGGCTCGGGGAGGCGATCGGAGAAAAGGCCCAGGCCGTCCCATATCAGATGATGGAGTCTCGCGTTCCATCATCTCGATTCGCTCGAATGTGGCAATATGGCGGGCTAGCAACCTCAATGGCATTCGGTGCCGTCGGCGAGACCCTCCGCCGAGCAACAGGCAGCCAAGACAACGGTTCATCAATCATGTTCAGCGCAGGCAACACAGAACGAATGGTCGCCAAGCTATCCAAAATGCGCGGCGCAGCTCTGAAGCTAGGCCAAATGCTCAGTATCCAAGACTCAAACATGCTCCCTGAGCCCATCCAGCAGGTCCTCCAGCGCGTTCAAGACCGCGCAGACTACATGCCCGCGTCCCAGCGAGATAAGGTCCTAGCGGATAACTTGGGTCCCAACTGGCGAGACCTCTTCACCTCCTTCAACGAGATCCCCATGGCCGCCGCATCCATCGGCCAAGTCCACTCCGCCGTCCTCAAATCCACCGGCAAACCCGTCGCCGTAAAAGTCCAATACCCCGGCGTCGCAGACTCAATCGACTCAGACCTGAACAACCTCTCCATCCTACTGACAGCCTCCCGCCTCCTCCCCCGCGGCCTCTACCTAGACAAGACAATCGCCAACGCCCGCACAGAACTCGCCTGGGAATGCGACTACATCCGCGAAGCCGCCGCCGCATCCCGCTTCCGCACCCTCCTCGCCAACGACCCGGTCTTCGTCGTGCCCGAGATCTACCCCGAAGCCTCAGGCAAACAAGTCCTAACAATGGAACTACTCTCCGGCGTCGCCGTGACCAAAATCCAAGATTTCTCCCAGGACCAAAGAGACTGGATAGGCACCCAACTAATGCGCCTATGTCTGCGCGAAATCGCCGAATTCCGCTACATGCAGACAGACCCCAACTGGACCAATTTCCTATACAACGCCTCGACGAATCGCCTCGAATTACTCGATTTTGGCGCTAGTCGCGAGTATCCGGCCGAGTTTATTAGTACGTATGTGCAGACGCTGATTGCTGCGTCCCGTGATGATCGCGATGCTTGTAAGAAGCTTAGTACGCAGATGGGATATCTTACGGGATATGAGTCCGAGGCGATGGCCGAAGCGCATGTTTCTTCGCTTGTGACGATTGCGGAGCCGTTTATGTTGGATGCGCCGGATTTGTATGATTTCCGGGATCAGAGTATTACGGAGAGGGTGCGCGGGTTTATTCCCATTATGCTTAGGGAGAGGTTGAGTCCGCCGCCTGAGGAGACGTATAGTCTGCATCGGAAGTTGAGTGGGGCTTTCTTGCTTTGTGCTAGGTTGGGGAGTCGGGTTCCTTGTAAGGAGTTGTTTGATGGGATTGTGAGGAAGGCGGGGGAGGAGGGGGTGGATAAGAAGATGTGAGGGATTACTGATTTCAGATCTAGGATCTGAGGGTGGTTTGACCCTCGGCATTTGCATTGGTGGTTTAGATGTATGATATAAAACTTGGATAGATTTTGTAATATTAAGACCTATAAATTACTTGATGGGGTTAGCTTTGCCAATCCTGGTCTAGTGCTATACTCTAGCCGCATATTTTGCAGTGTGTTGTATTGTACGAAGTAGCGTATATCAAAAGCAAAACTATGTCGGATGGCCTGTACAACTGCTTGTCTTGTCTTGTCTCGTTTTATCTTACCGCTATCATGAAAGCTGGGGTGGGGTGGAAGACATGCGGCCGGAGGGCGTACTGTCATACAAATCATCTCTGTCTGTTGTTTCAATATAGAAGGAATGGCCTTACCTCTCGATCTTTTTTCCCCTCCGCTTTTCTGCATTTGACTCCTCTATCCTATACCTATCATCCCCCTCTTTGTAAGGAGCTGGATCGTCATCACTAGTACTATTGTCATGGCGCTCGTGCCTTAGCCGAATGGCATCCATGTATCTTGTTCCTTCGACTTGAAGTTCCTATCTGATTCCTTCTGCGTCCTCCTTCTCCTCTTCCTCTTCTCCTTAAGTCTACTACTTTCGTTAAATGATACCACACGTTCTTTGTAGCGTCGTACCTGAGCTTCTCACGCCTTGTTACGCGGAGCAAACTGGTCACTGTAGGCTGTTCCTACATATGTACATAAGAGCCCCCGTCGTGCAATTAACTTGATAGGCTGTACGTGATGTCACAGTATAATGCATGGTGCTCCACTTCCTGGTCATGGTTGGCTATCGGTGACCGATCAGTAAGTTGTGGCGCCTCCTACTATGTAGTATCAGCCTCCACCGACAACCGCGCCTTGGCTCCTAAAACCCTGCTCTATTTTTATTTCCATCAGGACCGACCCACTCACTGGTAGTCTACATCAACGGTCATATAGTATGGTGATATGTACGGGATAGTAGGCGAGTCCTTTTGCTAGACAGTTTGCCCTGCGCACTTCGCTACATACAGTCTTTCTATTTCCTCCACCAATCTTTCAAGTTGTGACAAAAGCCCTACCTATCACACTCGCACAGCGCTTCTTTTCTTTTCTTATTATTATGTCGGAATACTCTTCGCTCGTTCCCTGGCCTGAAATCGAGGATATCATACCGCTACACAATACCACCATAGATGGTTGGATCTTTGCAAACCCTCTGACTACCAACAATACCTCATTTCGCTCCCAGTGGGTCATGTGTCAATACCCGGTCAGCGGTGGATATGGATCGACTCCGCGCATCGTATTCTACATTCTTGCTGCGGTCTCTATTTTTGGTCGTGATCGGAAATTCAATTATCGACGGGATCTTTCAAGACTCGGAAAGCTGATCTTACGACTCTGGATCTTTCTGGTTGTTCTATACTCTTCTGTACTCAGTCCCTTCGGTCTGATTACATTTATAGCGTACTATAAGTGGGATATAGCGGTTTCTGACCTAGGAGGAGAGACTTTCCGGCATATTGGACAGTGGAGTGCCCTGGTGGGTGCTGCGCTAGCGCTTGCAGCTGCAACGATCCCGCGATTGATCTTACGGATAGTACGAAAGAAAAAGGGATCTGGAACGCCTTTATAAGGAACCTGGTCACATAGGCGACGGTACACAGGTTCATCCCAGAAGTAGTGTTTTTACCAAACTAAGATGCAGATTTTACTTAGAATATCTACGAAAGAATTCACAATACACAGTTTCGACCATCCGCCTCGTACCACAGGCCGCATTAATGAAGAGACACCGTAATATGCAACGTGTAAGGTACATTACCATACCTTGCAATGAAAAACTACACTATGTGTACAAAATTGTGCAATTTCATGGAACCCCCTGTAGTAGACGTCTGAAATTCTGACCAGGTGAGAGCCATATCATTCCTTAATTATTGGAAATATGCCTTCTAGCATCAACTCTCCGGTTCAGTCAGGCACACAATTACAGTGGCGTTTCAAAAGTATAGCTCTTGTTATGTGATTGCTATGCTTGGCCATGCATTAGTGTGCTCACATGATTAGACAATGCTGACCCCCTCGTGAGGCTGAGACTCGCAACATGTTGACCTGATCCTGGAGCCACTGTGCTAATTTTCTCCTCTGGTGCTTCTTCGTAATTGACTTTGTTGTGGCTATTATTCCCTGCGACTGACCGGTAGCGTAAAGACGCTTCAACCAGCGCCATCAAGCCGAGAATCAACAATGACGGAGATTGTTGGAACGATTTCTGCCGTGATAGCAATCGTAGAGGCCTCTCTCGTGGTCTCCTCGAAAACCTACGAGCTCATTCAACTCATCAAAAATGCTCCTCCAGAAATCATGGCCCTCCAACACGATATCAAAGCATTTCAAACGCTGGTGCACAATCTCGATGCCGCTTTGAGATCGAAAGATGTGGAGAAGGTAGTAAAAGAGGACTCTCAACTGAGCCAGGCCCTAAAATCCCTGTTAGATCCCATTAAAGTCTGCAAAGGTGCCTGCGACGAGATCTACAAAAAATTGGAACAAACCGGAATTGCAGGTACCAGCGAAAATCCAGATGAGACGCCTTCAGGACGCCACCACATTAAGATGAAGTGGTTCTTCACACGAAAAGAAGTCTACGCTATGATCGCGCGATTCCAGGCAGCGAGAGAGGTATTTTCGCATGCTATGGCATCTTTGACCTTGTAAATTTGAACATCCCCAACTGCGAGTCAGTAGCCGGTTCAATAACTAACATCGCCAACTTGAAGGCAACTTTCCTTCCGGATAGCTCTCTTGGTGCATAAAGAGCACGATGCAGAAAGTGTGAAAAATAGGCACAAATTCGATGACGATGCTGGATCGGCTTTCGTCCAGTATACCAGAACACTTGCTGATGAAGCACGGCCAGGACCCATAACATCATCATATATGCCTCAGATACCGAGCAGATTGAGAGGTCCTAAGCATGCCAAAAGTCTTTTGAATGCTGTGAAGCAAGACGATTTTGCTTTGGTGGAAATATTGTTACGAGGTGTGGATGTCGATATTCAAGACCCCGCCACGGGACGTACTGCTCTCTCGTTTGCTGCCCAGTTGGGCAACGTTCAAATGACCGAACTTCTTCTGAGAAATGGCGCCAATACCAATATCCGGCAATATAGCTTGACGAAAGGCTATTGCGATGAAAGTCACCAGAAGGATATGATATGGATCAGTGGTCGTTTCCCTCTTCACTGGGCAATTTTGTTTGACCATACTGCGATTGTGGAGCTTTTGCTACAGTACCGCGCCAATCCTAATGCTGCAAACGGTTCTGGTCGAACGGTCTTACAAGAAGCTTGCTTTAAAAATAGCCCGAAGATGGCCAAAATGCTGCTAGAAGCGGGTGCAGATGTGAATGGCATAAATCTCCATTCTGTTGGTTCCACTCTTATTAATTACCCGATTTTTGTTTTCAAACAACTAATATATCTCTAGGGTTGGGCGTCTATCCATGAATGTGCACATGGTAAATCGGTGGAGCTACTCTATGTATTACTGGACTATAAAGCCCTGCTTGATGTTCCTGTCACCGATCCTAAGTTTTTAGGGGCGTTTCCACTCCATTTCACTGCGAGGCATGGCGGAGGGAACAAGTTGAAGGTTCTTTTAGACCACGGAGCCGACCCAAATGTCTTAATGGCTGGAGATATTTCAGTCCTCCACATGTGCGCGGCAAAAAACTGGGTCGATGCTATACTTAATCTCCTAGATAAGGGTGCACTAAAAAACACTCAGGATTTGTGTCTACGTGAAACTCCTTTGCACAAAGCAGCTCGGAACCAGTGTATGGACGCAATTAGGACATTGTGTTCGAAGGGAGCCGATACAACACTGAAGAATATCGATGGGCTGACTTTCGAGGATATTTTGAAACTTGCAAAGGTGGATCCTGACGGGTGGAGTGTTGACCCAGCCTGGGTAACATTCAATCCTTACTATTAATCATTGCTTTGGTGTTTGGGCAAAGAAAGTGGTTTTGAGATGATTATAATGCTTGAGTTGTACGACCTCGGCTGGCCTCACGTCTTTTGTTAAAAGCCGCTTCATAAGGCGGTTGTATCATGCGTGTAGTTATGCACTTTCCTAAAAGTCCCTATGATCTACTGTAGATAACCTTGGAAATGCATGATTTATCACCATGCTGCCACTTTCAAATTATCTTTCTCAATGCGAGTAAAGTCCGCGTCATCAACTCTGTCAGTTGTAATACGTTTACGGGCGGGCTTAAGTTTCAGTGCATTTCAGATGGTCAAAGGGAATTCGTTTATTTATAGACTGAAAAACAGGAACATCCGGCAATTTCTCCTCCAACCCAGTTGCAGAAACATTCGTCAATATTGGAAGTTGATATAAAAGCAAGCAAGTCGCTAAGCGCTTCAGCAATGCCACAGACCAATATCCTGCGTAGTCTAAGCCAGCCAGACTCTGCTTTCCAATGGCATGGCTTTGACGTGCCCGCCATGGGAAGTGAGGTCCGGGATGCGATCCAAGTCTTCAACCAGAATCTATCACACCATACCAAGCTGGACTGGACTGGACCGGACCGGACTGGACCGGACCTAACAGGAGAAGAAGACAAAACAGCCATGTATGCAAGACCACCCTGCACTCTATTCTCATGCAGCGTGCCCTTCAAAAACACTCCTCCAATAATTCTTAACCCCCTCACAAACCCCCTCATACTCCCCCCAACTGATAAACTTCCCCTCAAGCTCACAAGCTGTCCAAAGAATCTCCTCCCAAAAAACCCTCTCAACATCCCTCCCCTGCCCACCAATCCTCAACCCCGAAACAAGATCCTCAGGAATCGTCCAAGCCCGCGTAAACGCCCCCCTCATCATCAAAAACAGGCTGCACCTCATGCCCAGCCTGGAAAATCGTCGCAGGGTTAAATTTCGGGAAATTCGCGTGGATGAATAGTACATCTGGTCTGTCGCGCCGGCTCTTCCCTGCTGCACTCGCGCTTGCGCTTTCGCGTTCACGTCGAGCATAATCCTGTACAGGGTCGAACTGCGCCATCGCCGAACCAGCCATCCCACTCCCCGCAACAGTCCGATGGCCCAGCGCGCAAATCGGCTCGGAAACCTGATAAAATGGCTCATTGGCTGCCATGGCCGCCGCAACGAATGTCTCCTTGTCGCCTTCGCCTGCGGCGCCTTGCGAAAGGAGAGGCCAGTAGTGGCTTGGTCCGTAGTAGTTGTAATACGTCGCGAGGAGCAGGGTGAGGGCGTGCGATTTCTTCGAGAGCATGAATTCGCCGGATTCGGTTGAGGCGCGCAGATTCATGGGTGGTGGCGCTGTGTGGATTATTTCGTAGAATGTTGGACTGACGCTTGAGGACCAGAAATCGGGCCAGGTTATCATTCCCGTTGTTTTGAAGAGGGTGCTTGTGAATTGTTTTTCCGGCGCGGTTAGGGGGAAGGCGTCTGCGTCTAGGAAGAGGATTTCTTCGAAGGAGGAGAAGAGCATTGCGAAGGGTTTGAATTGGTATTTTGATATGGTGGTTGGTGGGGTTGATGAGGCTTCTAGGATTGTGGAGAGGATTATACAGCGGGCGTTCAGGGAGGGGAGGACGACGTTGCAAATATATTCTTCGTATTCGTCTTCGGAGGCGAGGAATACTTCCATTGGTAGTTTTGAGCCGGTGCGGCGGAGCATGCGGAGGGATATTACTAGCACGGGGAGGTAGGGACCGCCGGCGGTTGAGACGATGCCTTTTGTTCCGGGGATGTATTGGAGGTGGAGGTTTAGTGGTATTGGGGATTTGTTTAAGGGTGGGGATTTCGGTTTGAGAGCGTTTAGGAAGTCGGAGTGTGCTTCGCGCATTGTGTCGACGTCTTCGCGCGCGACGAGGACGTAGTCTGGTCGTGGTTTGGCATTATCTTCTGCATTGAAGCCTTCTGTCGGTGCTTTGATGTCTTCGACGAGTGGGTTTGTATCTGGGCCATGTTCCTCGAGGAGAGTGTGGAGGGAGCGCCAGAGTGATTGTTGGGCGGTTGTTAGGTCTGGAACAGAGTGGCCGAAGTCGAGGGTTGGCGCTGACGTGTATCGTGAGAAGGACCAGACGAGGAATGAAGCGAGGAGGAGGGCGGCGAGTAAACTGCGCACTCGTAGTATTGATCGTGGAAGCATGGCTATGGTGATGTCGAGCCTAGGCCCTATCCAATAGGGTTATTCTGGTACCTGGTTTGTTCCTGGTCGTGTGTCTTTGGTTTTGTTCCTGGGGAAGTCCCCACGTTGAGGTGGAGACGCGCTAGTGAGGCTTGACAGCTGCGCCGATCAGAGAGTTGCAGAGGGATTCGGACTTGGTCCATGGGATGCGATGGGACAAAAGGCGGGGAGGAAAGAATAGAGGAGATAGTAGTAGCGAATTTAAGGGTCAAGGTCAAGATCGAGATCAAGATCAAGGGCAAGGGCAAGGTCTGATGGCGTCGAGATGCAGGCAAATGGCCCCCTTCGTTGCACGGGCCACGGGACTGGAATGCAGCCGAGGCAAGAGAAAGCGATGAGATGGGGGATGATAATGTGATAATGTGATAAGATAATTAAGATGATACTAGACGTAGGACTGGATGTCTAAGGTTGAATTCAAGTGGTTGATACGGACTCTACCATAGATGGTGGGCGGCAAACCTTGGAACAATAAGTACTTATATATACAAAGTCACGGTACCTAGTACTTAGTTGCGAGTTTACAGTCTACAGGAGATACAGTTCTACACTGGCAGTGAAAATACTTGTTCTTCAGAGACCAAGGTCTCTCCTTCATTGATTGCTAATTTTACTAGCAAGGACCAAACAAGTAGGTGAAAAAAAAAAAAGACCTCTTGAAGTCATATCATCTCACATCACAACGTAAACATGAACCACATCGGCACGTAACAGGAAAAAAGGGGAGTATTTTAAATCCCGCCACCATTAATCAGGTCAGGCAGAAATGCCCGAAGAAGTGGGGTATTGGGTTGATGGCAAGGATGGGAGAAAGGAAATTCTTTATCGGGGTGCTAAGTGCAAGGGGACGCACTAGCTTATTTGAAGACGTGGCCGTCGGCGGACTCGAGGACCTTGTCGCCAACCTTGAGGGGAGCGTCCCAGGCCCAGAGGTCCTCAATGTACTTGCGGGTAGCCTCGTCGTTGTGGTCGAGCTTCTCGAAGGTGTAGGACTCCCAGTCGGGGGCAACCTCGAAAGCGGGAGCGGACTCCTGGCCGCGGACCATGAAGACACCGCGGATGACACAGTCGTAGTTGACACCGAAGACGGCCTGGCAACCGAAGAGGTACTTGCGGGAAGCCTCAAGACGAGCGTGGAAACCACCGATCAGGTTGTTGGCCATGAAGGTGAGCTTCAGCTCGTCGTCGTACTTGTAGTCGACCTTCCAGAGGGAGTACTCCTCGGGGTTGTAGTTCTTCCAGAACCAGGGCATGGCAACCTCACGGGTGTCCTCGTTGGAGTACTGGCGCTTCCACTCATCGAGGGGGAGAGTAGGCTTGCCAAGAGCCTCGAGGGGGTGCTTGGGCTTGGGGGCCTCAGCGGCGGGCTTGGGCTCCTCAGCAGCGGGGGCAGCCTTAGCGGCCTTGGGCTTCTCCTCCTTCTTGGGGGCGGTGTACTTGATGACCTCCTCAGCGAAGACGGGGTTCTCAACAACAGCCTTGAAAGCGGCCTGGTTGATGATGGTGTTGTACCAGCGGGTGGTAGCGGGGTTGGCGCTGCGCCAGGCCTTGTCCAGGACGGTGGCGAAGGTGCGGGTGAGGAGAGCGGCAGTGAAGATATCAGCCAGGGTGATGCGCTCACCGACCAGGTAGGTGTTGGCGGTGAGGTGAGCCTCGAGGACAGCGATGGTGCTCAGGGCAACCTTGGCAGCCTCATCGACGGTCTTCTTGTTGTAGGCCTCGAAGCCGAGCAGAGGGCGGTACCAAGCACCGAAACGGGGCAGAAGCTCACCGTTGGCGAAGGACAACCAGCGGACGATGGAAGCATAGTCCTGCTTGGTCTTGCCAAGGAGGGTGGTCTTCTCGTTCTGGGAGGTGACTGAAAAATCAAATGAGGTTAGTCATGGTTTGATTTTTTGACAGGTGGATCCACAATAGGAGCAATCGGAAGCATTGACGGGGCAACGTGAAGCAAGAAAGGGGGTCAAGGGGGGAGGAGGTAAAGTCCACACGCCCAAGGTGAAGAATTTTTCCTCCGCGAGCGGGGTACTCAATTCTCCTCTTGCGTGATTTTTTTCAGAGTTGTGTAGTTTCTCAACAGTGTAGTTCTGACAGGGATAACTAGATAATTTATACATCTCATCATGAAAGGGGTTGGCTGTGAGGCCAGTGTTGGATGTGAAGGTGGTGAAAAAAAATAAACCGAACAAGTTGTGACCACGTACCGTAGATGGCGATGGCAATAGCCTCGGTCAGAGTGTAGCCATTGGCACCCTCGAAAGCAGGGATCTTGCCCTGGGGAGAGATCTTGCGGTACTCAGCACCAGAGTTGAACTCGGCGGAAGAGTTAGCAGTGGTCTGGACCAGCTCCAAGTCCAGGTCGTTGTGCTTGGCAGCGACCAGGATGGAGATGGTGCGAGGGTTGTCCTGGGGAAGGAGAGAAAAGTCAGTAAGAGTGACAATAAGTAGACAATTGGAAAGGAATCAAGAACATACAGGAAGACCGTAAAGCTTGCCGAAAGACATCTTGAATGTGATAAAGAAAGAATGGAGGGGGAGGAAGGAAAGGAAAAGGACGTGGAGGGGCAAACTTGAACGGTTTTTAATTTTCAGCAGCCCGCCCGCTAGCCACGTGATGTTGGGTCTGCAAGAATATTCCTCCGGGGCCCGAGGCCGAGAAACCTTTGAACTGTCCGGGTGATTTGACTTGACTACATCATATCAATCCCAACTCCCAACTCTTCAGAATGGCTCGGCCTACCTCCAATGGCCTGACCAAGGCGATGCAGTCCCTACGACTGTCCTCGCAATTCTCACAACGCTCCTTGGTCCCTTCATCACGGCAATTAACCCGTGCCTATGCGACAGAGGCAGAGCCAGAGACCACCAACACGGCAATCCAACCGGAATCAATCCCCGACTTGTCTGTCCAAGCAGCTCCAGAGATCGATTTCTCAACGTCCTTCCTTCGCAACCCGGCCCGAATTGTCCCTGCTTCTCCTTCCTACTTCTCCGGTAGCCCGCGATTTGTCGACCACGTCCTTCACCTGGAGTCCCTACAAGCCCGCTACGCCGCCCTCCCTCAATTGCCAGCCGGCGAGGCCCCCCGAATGGCCTGGTTCAAGCTGAAGCAGTTCCGTGAATACGTTGGCGAGGCCGTGCCTGTCAAGAAATACAAGAGCCTGGTGAAGATTCTCCAGCGCCTGAATCGGATTCAGACTGAGATGGTGCCTGGTGAAGTCCGCACTGTGCTGGACTCGTTCCTGCGTCCTGGAAACCCGTACGCCGTGGTGCGCGAGACTCCTGAGCTGGATGAGAATGGAAAGGCGCGTGCTAAGGGTAAGCGAAAGGAGTCCAAGGCTGTTGTTCACCTTGTCGAGGGTGAAGGTGAGATCCTTGTGAATGGGAAGTCTCTCGTTGAGGCATTCCCCCGCGTACACGATCGAGAGAGTGCGCTGTGGGCCCTGCGTACCACCCAGCGAATGGACAAGTACAATGCTTGGGTTACGGTTCGGGGTGGTGGTGTGACTGGCCAGACGGAGGCTGTTACATTGGCGATTGCGCGGGCTTTGATGGTACACGAGCCTGGTCTGAAGCCATTGCTGCGGAGAGGTGAGTTCGAGTTATCCTATTACTGTTATGTTCGTCGATATTGGACTGTTGCTGACCATTTTCTTCTTCCTCTTAGCTGGTGTCATTACGGTCGATGCTCGTCGTGTGGAGAGAAAGAAGCCGGGTCATGTCAAGGCTCGCAAGATGCCTGCCTGGGTCAAGCGTTGAGACCGGTCAAAGGCGATATTCTTCTGCAGCGATACTATCTTGTATTATCTATCTCATGTATTATTTCACTTGCATGGCATTCAAAATTGCCAGTTTTGTTCTATATCCTACATTCAATGCATATGGAGCTTCCATCGAATGATAAAAGTCAAGGGTGTCTTTTATATAACTGCCCCTTCCCCTCGCTGAGATATCAACTTGGCATCCTTGAATCGGCTTACTGTGTGGCTGTCCCCTGAAATCTCCCCTGTGTTAATTACCGAACCGTGCAAGGGTAGGGTTTCAACTCTTCCGTTGCTGGGAATGTGCTAGCCGACTCAAAGTTGAATATAATTCTTATCAACATCACCTACATAGTACTAGTATGATGATACTAGCCCCAACCCTCTAATCCTTTCGGATATTCCTTTATTCCAGTAAATCGGCCTCCCTCCAATCTGACCTTTTAGGGAGCCCAGGGCGAGGCGTATGCATATCACAATGTGACGAAAACTTCGCCCTGCAGATGACTGTGTTTGTTCGAAGCCATAAGGACCCGATCGATTGGCACACCAATCGGAAAAGCAAAACATGAGCCGCGAGCGATCCCAAGGCGTCCTAGCCAGTCCATGTCACGGAAACTCAAAAACCACGACAAACATTCATCTTCTACAGAGTATCCGTACATGGGTACGGGTACGGGTGATGTGATGGTGATCTCATACAGAAAAGAGGTAATGTAATCATAATGCATTGCGCCGAGAGCCTATAACTATTTCCCTTCCTTCTTTTTTTTTGTATCCCGCGCCACGCCGAATGCAACCATCCTGAAAAAGGAAAAGGAGAGTGAAAATGGACCCTGAGATCCAACTTGGGGTAGGTACTGTACTCGGGGTACCGCATAAAGCAAAAGAGAAGAGTTGATATGTACACTTTTTGTTTCATTATCGTTGAAATGCACCGTACTATGTAGTGCGGCGATTAGCCTGGCAATAGCGTATACTATACTCCATAGTCGTTGCCAATTTGGGAGAGGAACAGAGTGAGGCGGAGGGGTAGGTTTGGGTGCGGGTGCGGGCATGTGGGTGTCAGATGGGAATAGAATAGAATGGAGCTGATTTCAGCTCTTCCTTCACGGGAAAGACGGGATGGGATGAGAGCGTGATAGTCAAGAGGGGTAGAGTAGCGTAGCGTAGAGTAGAGTAACGTAGGGTAGCGTAGAGATGGACATGATGGAGTTGCGCCCAAATGGGTTGATCTTCGAGATCGGGCCTTTTCTTTCGAGGCGACGAATCGTGCAATTGACCAGTTCCAAGGCTGGGCTTTGGGAATGATCTCACGTCTCACGTCCCGTCGCGTGTGTGGGTGGGTTGATTGGCGTGGCGCTAGTAGGCAATAGCTTGTGCCGTGGCGGCTGCTACCTCATATTTTGCCCCGCAGCTAACCTGGACCTCTGACGATTGATCGCCAGATGGATGATGGGCCCGTATCTGTATGGAGCCGAAGGGTTGGAATCTGAGGTGCGTGATGGCGATTTCGTTGATCAATTAGGGCTTGGGTCTTCCCGTGGTTCAGGCTCAGGTTCAGGGTCTGGTTCAGGGTCTGGGCGCCGCGGCCGTGGGCTCGGGTAGCGCATGGACGCGTAGGAGTTCGGGTCGACTATCTATCACATCTAGACATTGGCCCAGGACTAGTGGAAGATGAGTTAGACTTGGGTTCCCGTTTTGCGATGCGTCCTGATTCCAGAGGGGGGAAAAGTGGAATATGGATAATGTTGTAGAGTCCATATTCTGCTCTTTTTTCGATCTACTTACCACATAGGATCTCTTCTTCCCAAATACCCAATTGATAATCGACCAGCCCATGCTGCTCTAACTGATCGCAAAGGTGGATCAGATCCTTGCCCATGGCTTCCAACTGATCTCGACCGATGAGACTCGTATGCGCTGGTGAATGGCCCGTCGTGACCAGGTCCTGGAACAGATCCTTCTGCTTTTGACACACGGCTAACCAACAAAGGTTAAAGTCGTTCCAGAGTTGTAATCGATCATGATAGAGAATATGATCATCGCGCAGAATTCCTATATCGAAATATCAGAGAAAAGAATTAGTACATCGTTTTTTGATACTTTTTCCCTCTTTGGCAAATCCCCGCTGCGCCTGTCATATGATGCTTGTATGACCCGCGCCTGCAGGCGCAAGAAAGGAAGCGAAAAAAAAAAGGAATAAAAAACCAATGAGAAAGGCAGAGAAAAAATACAGCTCCCCGGTTTAAAAAACAGAGCCCAGGCCGGAGTGCGATTGTGGTACGACCTTTCCGCACGCTCTGGGGCGCGGCAGCAACCTTGTACCAGCATTGTACCTCCCGCAAGGTAAAAAATGAAAGAACATGGAAAGGAGCCGAACCTACCCAAATCCCGAGCGTTAGCCACAAGCCACTCGGAAATTTCCAGCAGCGATCGGCTGGCTTCCACCAATCGTCCGGCGCGCGTGTCGTCAAAGGTGCTGCGCAGTGCTCGCCGGTACTGAGCATACGCTTCGTCGAGGTTGGAAGAGTCGTCCACGGCCACGGCCTGCTGGGGCTCGGAGGAGCCTTCTGGCTGCTGCTGATGCTGATGCTGCGGAGGATCTAATCGGCTAGTCGGGCCAATTGGGGTGAAATCGGTCATGTTGGCGGGGAAGGGTTGCATAGTACTCGGACGTGCCATGGGACCAGGTTGATTATATGGCATCTGCGCGTTGAGATAAGGCGAGAGCCCGACTGGGACCCCCGTCTGCGAGGGTTCCTCGGGGGCGAAATATTGTGGAACGGCAAACTGGTTCGACAGGGCCTCAATCGCTGCAGAGTGCCGTGGCGGGTACTGTGGAACAACTTCAAAGGGTCCTGGGGCTGGACCCTGCTGACCAAATCCGTACAGCATGGCGGACTCGTATTGCACGAACGGCGGCACCTCTTGCGGTCGTCGGCGCTGCTGGCCGCTCGTAGATGGCGTCGCTTGATGTTGGCGCGGCCGTTCGTACTCGGGTGGATAGGATGCCATGTCGTTGCTGCTCTGCAGTGAGCCGCCGGCGAAGGAAGTGCCTGTGTATTCGTAGTCGTAGGACATCGGCCCGCGGCCTGGCGCCTGCGACAGCCCTGTTGGGTCTCCACGTGGATGTATGTTGGAAGACTCGAACGAGTCGGCTGCACGGCCCCTGGCCCTGGAATTTCCGGATCTTGCCATCAGTCGTTCATTCTGCTTGCGGCTGTCGCCATCCATTAGGCCGTCCCACCGGAGCCCGTGGAGGTCGATATTGGCCCAAGGTTGGGAGTTGGGGGACAAGGGCGGACTTGCGTAGGATGCCAGCTTGGAAGAATAATTTGGTATCAAGTTCAAATTGCTTAATTTGATATATTGCAGTAGATCACTGGTTATCCCAAGGTTTTGGTATTTTCCTTTCCCTTCTTTGTGGAAGTGTTTGATGGAGTGATTTTGTGGGAGTTGTCCGCTGTATTTGCTTTGTATTTGCAAATATTTGTGGACATGGGATCTAGATGATGTAGATCTGGATGTGGACCCAACAAATAGGCACGGAGAATTTCAAGATTGATAGCCACCGAATGGGGCGTCAGAACAGGAGTCCGAGTCAGACGAGGCGTACCGATAAAGAATGCTTTAGCGAGAAGCAGTGAGAGTGAGAGTAAGACGACCGAGAAGAAAAAAAAAGTCGAAGTGAATTGATTACATGGAGACGAGGACGAGAGTTTGGCGACGAGATGATTGATGATTTATAAAACGAAGCCAAATCCAAAGCCAAAGCCACGGATGACCTAAAAACAATAGGACCAAATAAATGGAATCCACAAAAATAGAAAAATAGGGCTCCAAATATGACGAATCTGATTGTAAGATGAGCAGAGAGAGGGGGGGGGGGGAAATAAAATAAAATAAAATAAAGGACGGTGATAGATGAGAGAGGGGGGGGGGAGGGGAGAATAGTGACCCTAAGAAAGGGCCGAACGTACCAGTAAGAAGCGAAAGCGACGATGAACGAAAGGGCTGCAACAGAATAAGAACAAGAAAAGGTCAACTCGTGGAGAACCGGGTACCTGGAAGGGATAGTATTTGAGACTATCTACTTGGGATGGCGCTAGGCCGACGATCGCACACCGATCTACGAACTCGCGTCTGCGATCGCCCGGGAACCCGATGCGCTGGTTCCTGGTGGATTTCCCGAAAGCTAGGGATGACAGGGTCAGGTGTGTGTCTTTCTTTTCTTTTTCCTTTTTTCTTTTTTTCTTTTTTTTTTTGATTATTATGATTATTATGATTATTATTTTTTCTGTTTCTTTTTGGATGTGTAACTTGCGAGAGATGGGGCTGAGGAGACCAGGCCCTTATGGGAACGGATTGAATTCCCTCCCCTCCTCTCCCTCTCCTTATTTTCAGCCACGGAGAAATCAAGAGTAAGCAGACCTGAAGGATGAGTCGTATTCAGCTCGTCAAAAAAAAGTATAGCTGTAGTACAGTCAACCGGAGAGGGGGGGGAAGAAGAAAAGGAAGAGAGAGAAGAGAGAGAAGAGAAAGAAGCGGAGTGAGGAGGAGAAGAATGATAATATGATAGATGATATGATAATATGTAGCAATAATAGTAGTACGCCGAAGTACTCCGTAGCACTCCGTAACAATAATGACAATAATAATAAAAGGGGGGTTCGAAGGAGGGTGACTGGACATTCCGGGGCGCATATTATTGCTCGGACAGCTGCTGCACTGCTGTTCCTTTCCCCTCCTCCCTCCCCCTTCCTTCTCGGATATCTGCAACAAAAGAGCAGGGCACTGTAGATCCACTTGGGTCAGAAGTACGGAGAGAAAGTAAGAGAGAGGGAGAGAAAAAAAAAAAGCCTCTTGGGAAGCCAGGGAGTAAGGATTTGAAATACACATCGGGCATCGTCCGGATCTGCAATCTGCAGCAAGATTGAATCGACCCAAGACACGTAGGTTGACGATAGTGAAGTGGAGCCAGAGATGTCAAGTCAAGTCAAGTGTCAAGTCAAAATCCCGCCCCCAGGATTCGTTCCGCCCCCAACCAGATCCGATACTTTGGTTGGGATGGGGACAGTGCCGACGTCAAGGGGGAAGAAAAGAAAAGAAAAATTGTGGGTTTCATCTTGTTCCGACCAGCCCTCGAGACTAGGTCAATGATGCAATCTGCACAACCCGGGACTCGGTCTGATCTGGCACGCCCTCCTGTACACCCTTCGCCTTCGGTATACTGGCCGCAACTGGGAGCCTGGGTAGTTTCACCACGGCTGACGTTTCTAGTCCCCTGTCAGCTGACAATGTCCATTTATAGCCGAGCTGGGCTTTGCTGCTTCTACTCGGAGGAATAGTGACACCGAGAGCTCCCCGGCGAGGCAGAATGGGTGGGAAAGGAAAGCTGTGGAATGGGATTGGAATTGCGACTGGACCCCCCCCTCCCGGTTGAGATTGCACCTCACCACGAGACTTACAGTTCGGCCGGAGGTTGGCCCGAGGTTTGGGAGGGATAGGAATATCATTGGCAGTAAACTACATTGCAGGAAGGGAAAAAAAGCACATCACGTCGCTGGTCATAGAGTCATAAGGCGGAAAGCCCACCTGCATGGATTCACCACAAAGAGAGTGAGGAGGGACATGAGAACGAGAGGGACAACAGAAGGTGAACCCCAAAACAATAAAATAAAACACAAAAAGGGGAATGCACGCAGAGAAGTGCAGTCAAGCGCAGCCCAGTACCAATGGTAGAGCTCCCAGTATGTCCATCGCCGGGTTTATATTTGATCTGATACCGCGTTAGCAAATGGATCTGCCAGCATGACAAAACACAATCCCTATGTAGAAGGAAAGGAGAAGAGGAGATGAGGCGAGACCTACTCAGTGTCATGCTCAAGTTAACATCCGTGCTCTCCACCATGTCTTGAAACTCCTCGAAACTAATGCGTCCATCCTGGTCCTTATCGGCCTCCATAATGGTCTTGTCCACAATCTGCTGCAGTTGCACATCCTTGAGGTTGTTGCCCACCATCATCTTCAACACGATGAAAAGTTCACCGTTGGAGATATATCCGTCGCGATCGATATCGTAGACCTTGAATGCAAATCGAAGCTTCTCCTGTTTGTTGCCCTTGGAACTGAAGGCCGACAGGCCGGTCACGAACTCTTGGAAATCGACATCACCACCACCATCCTCATCGAAAATCGCAATCATTCTATTATAAATTGGGTCAATATGGGTCGTGGCGGGGCCCTGTTGAGAAGATCGGACAGCGTGGACGTACCTCGTGGCAAGCGGGTTGGAGGATACCTGAGGCAAGGACAGGAACTCGTCGCGATCGATCGTACCGGAGCCATCCTGGAGATCGAGTTGTTAGTACATTGCTGAGGGGGGGTTTTAGAAGTAATTCCATGCTGATCGAACCTTATCAAGCTTCATGAATCGCTTGCGCAGGCGATCCACCTCATCGCGATCGACTGTTTTGAGTGTCAGCGGGAAGCTCATGACTTCGTCCTGACGTCACGACCGGGGGATAGCAAACAATTTGAGGTCGAAATAATATTATCGAACAGTTGTGTAGTTCCAACGGAGCCTCGTCGGCGCGCCACATTGTGCATGGCGGCGTTGTTGGGTTCGGATGACTGGTCCATTGCGAATGAGGGGGGGGGGAATGTGAGGGGAAAGGTGAAAGGGTAGCGGGCGGAGGGCGGAGGGCGGAAGGCGGAAAGGAATGAAAAGAGTCAACGAAGGTTGAAGACCAAGATGAGACAAGACAAGACCAAGCACCGATGGAGAACTAGAATAGAGCGGAGACAAACAAAGCCGGGGTAGAAAGGACCACCAGAATAGCCAGAATGATACCAGCGAGCAAGTTTGATAATGCCCAGCCCCGCACTAACCCCTTTGATCCAAGTGACTAACCGGAACGGGACAGGCAAGCGAGCCCCTGAGGCCGTGCGGGCGGCAAAACAGGCCATCACCAGGTGACATTACAACGTCAATCCAACCGCCTGCCGCGAATCCGATCAACTTTAACCGTCATTATCACCCCCTCTTCCATCAATTTTCATCTCAAAAATACGACTACGAGATACTGCATGACCTAACCTTTCGATCGAGCCTCCTTTTATCCCAATCCCGCCCATGGTCGTTGCCCTATTGCGCGTTCCGACGCTATGACTCGGTACGGGGGCCTGGGCCGGACGCGCCCTAAAAAGCTCACTGCTAAGGCGTCCATACCCATCGTTCGCGAAGATGAGATCGATGTAATCGACGACGAACTCCAGTCTACACTCCAACAGATCGAAACCGGCGTGGAAAAGGCCGAAGAGTCCGTAAGTGTCCTTCCCATCCTCCCCCCCCCGTGCCTAATTTTAGCCTAGCCTCATCCCTGCATATCATCACGTGATGACATCACCAAAGCGACACGAAATTTTCACGATGCTGACTCGAGACGCGCCACGTTAGGAATTCCACTTACAAGTCGCGATCAATGCCACTGCCAAAGGCAATGTTAATGCCGCGCATATCCCAACCCCTGAAACTATCCTCAGTAACCTCCAATATGACGAATTGTATCCTCCAATCTTCTCGCAGCCTTCGACATATATCAGGTTCTCCTCCACGGTGGAGGACTGCTGTGGCTGTCCTTATAACATGAACACAGAGGACGATGTCTTTCTCAAGATCTTCAATCAGAAGAACCCGGATGCCCGGTGTTCAGAAGATGAGTTTGAAGCTACAATGAACTTCTTTGAGGAGACTGCCGAAGCCAAACAGCCATTCGCGGCCGTGGATAGCCCGCCCGTTCTGGCATTTGCGGACATGGAAGATTCCATGGATGCTGCAGTGGAAGAGTGCGTGAAGCGCTTTGCGAAAGACATCTATGAGCATTGGAAGTCACAACGAATCGCAGCCGGAAATCGTTCGCTTGAGCCACGCTTGAAGGTAAGTCGCAATCGCGCCCTTGTAACCGCCCGTACTTTCAGAGGAATACTCTACTAACAATCGAACCTCTGTAGTTTGAGACTGGCCAGGATACTGATGACAGCGATCCGTATGTCTGCTTCCGTCGTCGTGAGGTTCGTCAGATCCGCAAAACGCGTGGTCGGGATGCCCAGAGCGCGGAGAAGTTGCGGAGGCTTCGCAAGGAGCTTGAAGATGCGCGGCAATTGGTTGCCTTGGTGCGTCAACGTGAGGTTGCTCGGAAAGAAGTGCTTTCCATGGAACGAACCCTGTTCGCACAGCGCTCTGAGGTTAGGGATATGAAGCGCAAGCTCAACATCAAGGACGATGATGAGGACCTCATTAACCAAAAGGTATGTTCTCCTGGTCCTGTACCTTGTCCTTGCTGCATATTTGCTAACATCCCCCGACTCAGCCCAAGAAAAAGCAACCCGAGATGGCATCTCGACAACCCACTGCTCCCCAAATACGCATGCCCCTCAAGGCAGGATTGCAAGGGGCAGAAGATCTTCAATTATTGGAAGATCACCAGGCGGAGAAGGAGAACGAGATTATGCGCGATATCAAGCAGAATATCGCAAAGCACATCAAGTGGAACGAGGGCTTTGTAGACCACACCCGTGCGCCGCTGTCACCATCCCCAGAAAGGACATTCGACAATGCGGCTTTCCGTCCGGCCTTTACTGCACAATTGCCCACTCCGCCATCCTCAGAGGCATCGGCTGATGCAATGGACACGGCACTGGACGTCACCAGCCCCCTCTCCGGCGGGGGGATAAACTTGCCTCGAGGGCCATGGAGCTGCATGAAGAACCGTCTCGTATACCGTCATTCCGGAGACGAGTTGGTCGTGGCGGAAGGTTAATGATCGACCGTCGAAATCTTGCGGCACGCTGTAAAATCGAAATGGACCCCCTCCGGACTGATCGATTCAAGTTCGATCAAGAAGACTCCGATGAAGAGTCCTCGTATGAAACGGATGGTTATAGCATTCAGATCATGCAACACCGGGCCATCACCATGGCCAAGGCGCGGGAACAGGCCGCAGTAGCTGCTCATGCGCAGGCGCAGGCGCAAGCACAAGCAGCAGCTCAGGCCCAAGCCCAACGACGATTGCAAGCCGATCAAGCCGGCAATGCCCCAGGGCCGAATGGAGCTCCACCAGCTCCGCCAGCTATGGTCGCTGCACCATCGGAGGCTTGATTCGTCATTCTCTTCTCTTTTAACGTTTTTCTTTTTTTTCCTTTTGCAGCATTTGGCGGGCGTTTTGTTTTTTCCCCATCATCCCGTCGCCCCACCGCACCTCACCTTATCACTTTTCACCTTCTCCCACACTGTAGTTTTAGTACCCTTCATGTTTTGACGAATATCGTGGGCGACGAAGGGATTGATGGACCCGCTTGTGCTTTTTTCCCTCTTCCTTGCTTTTCACGCCCACCCCCTTTCTTCTTCTTTTTCTTCGTTTTCTTCCTCCTCTCCCCCCTTTACCCTTCGATACTGTTGCAACTGCCCCGTCATCTTGCTGGTCCAGCATCTTGGCGGGTATGTCTGCGTTTGTTAGTGTACATATAACCTTTGATTTCTGGTGGAGGAGAGCGCGCAGGTCGAAGAGACCGCTGTTTTGTATGATGGATAACCGAAGTTATGATGCCTGTGATGATGGAAAAAAAGGGAACAAGGGCAGAAAAGGAGAACTTCCAAAATCTAACAGAAATATAATCACTCGCCAATATTTTGACACTTTTTTGGACCTGCTGGCTTCGTAACGTAGTTCGTTAGGCCACTGCGAGCCCCTGCTCCGATAAAGCGTATGTCCGATATCCACCTCAACCACCACTCTCGGGGCCGTTGGTCGTGTAGTTCGTTGTTCGTTTGAAAAATCAAGCTGCACCGATGGATTCAAGCATCGCCAGAACAGCCTGGAAAATTTCCTTCTCGCCCATACGTACCTGGAGAGCCATCTTCAGCCGACGAGATGACCCTTCCAGAGACGCAGGTGAGGAAAGACTTTGAAGGAGTTGGGTGTCCTGAGCGAGCGATGTTGCATATTGAGCTTGCTTGGTCTGGAAGGCCTTGTAGAGAAGAGTGGCCTGTTTCAAATCCATGGATGGCTTTGGCAGCTTGTTTTTGGATTGGCGCTGTTCGAATTCCTCGGGTGTCTGCGTCAGCGTCGTGAGTAGAACGACTAATTCTGCAGGTAGAATGTCCTCAAGTGAGGCATTGTTCAAGGGTCTCGGGATGACGTATCCGTCTTCCAAGACTTCATGCTCGTCGAGGAATTGAAGCTGGAATCAAAATTAGTCAATTGTCCAGATAAGGCGCAGCGATGGTAAAGTTCGCTGTAGTTGCGTTGGCGTACCCTCGGTTGCGATTCCAAATTATCGGTAGGAAGACCGGCTGATTGGCAGATATCTCTCAGGGATAGTTCAACGACGTCGAATGGGGCGTAGTTTTCTGTCACGTAGCCGTAGCGGCGGAGTAGGTCTGCGCGAGGAATCTCTCCGTAGTCATTGAAAATCTCCTCGTTTTCACGGATGGGTTTCAATGCACGCATGATCAAGGACTCTTCTTCTTGGTATAAACGGGCCTAGATGGGTGGGTTGTTAGAAAGGACTAGTCTGTCGGGATCCAGGAACAGTTTCTACCCACATTGTTGCGGTCAGCGTCGGCATTCAGGAGATCAGCCAGAGGGACCATGCCCTTGGGTAGCTGCTCTTCTTCATCATCGGTCATATAGCTATCATCCGCATCGTTCATTTCGTCATCATCATCTTCGGGTTTCTCAATGTCAAAAGCATAAGCCATGATGAGAGAACCCATCATGTGAGCAAGTTCCAGCAGAACGGCAGCACCGGCGTCACCCTCGTATGAAGAGATTTGACCAACAGGCGGGAATAGAGACGGGTTCGCCCGTACAGCTGGGGCGATTGACCCCAGGATAGACTCATCGGCACCCTGTTTGCCAATCTTGTCAACAATGGCACTGGCCTGCAATTCATGCAATTCCGCCGCGGACCAGAACATCAATGTGTCAAATTGGGTGGGCAGAATTTGGAAGTAAGCTGCCCATTGAGACGAGGGTCCCTTTAGGTATTCGTATATCATCACTAGCATCAGGGACAGCCAGGGGCCCAGGTTCTCCACATCTTGGGGGGAGCAGGGACTTCAGGTCTGAATTCTGCACGGCGAGAATTAGGGAGCGCGGGATCGAGAATAGTTCTTCTCCTTCTTCGATGTTTGATCGGGCCACTATTGTCACAAGAGGAGATATTGTTAGCGAGGGTGCTTTTCTTATGAAGCCAATTTGTTGAACACTTCGGATTTTGTGTGGTGGTGGGGGTGGGTTGGAATTGCAATTTACCGATTCCTCGTCCAGCACCATTCGCTCGAAGGTCGGCTAGGAAGATCTTGGAGTTGACCTTGACACCCGGGCTTCCTTCCAGCCAAGAAGTGAAGTTGTTTGACTGTTGCTGGAAGCTTGATGGGTCGGAAAAGTGGGTGGAGGAGGACATGTTGTATGAGATGTAGTTGTAATCGAAAGAAAGAATGGGGAGTTAAGGAGAGGTGGGGGGGAAGAAAAGACTGGATAATAGATCCTTATTCCAGTCTCTGCTCGGATGTCCAAAACGAGAAAGGGCGAGAGATTTGGAAGAGTTGGAGGAGTGGGGGGGGAAGGAAAATGAAAGGGTAAAAGAGTATGTAGATGGAGGACCCGTAATTATTCATAACTTTCCTTCGGAGAACGTTCGGAGAAACGGAAATGCCCCATGGCGCCGCTTTAAGCCGATAACGATAACGAAAATCGGCATGACCTTGCCTGAGGTGACCGGGCATCCCATCTACACAGCAGCATATGAAAGCTCATTCTTTCTTGGTTCAATTATTTCCATATCAGCTGCCAAGATGATCGCCATTGGTATGGAGGGCTCTGCCAACAAGATTGGTATCGGTATCATGTCACATCCCAAAGATGGCAGCCCACCACAAGTCCTCGCAAACATTCGACACACCTATGTTTCCCCACCTGGAGAAGGCTTTTTGCCCAAAGATGTGGCGCGTCACCACCGAGCATGGGTTGTCAACTTGGTGAAGGGAGCCCTCAAGGAAGCCCAAGTGTCGGTTGAGGAGGTCGATTGCATTTGCTTCACCCAGGGACCTGGAATGGGTGCCCCGCTACAAGCCGTTGCGATTGCGGCGCGCATGCTGAGTCTTCTTTGGGGCAAGGCATTGATCGGAGTAAATCACTGTGTAGGACGTGAGTATTCTTTTGAGAAATACGGCATTATATTCCCTTTATACCGAAGCATACTGGCTAACTCTTCTCCTCTCTTCTTCATAGACATTGAAATGGGTCGTCTAATTACCGGCGCAACCAACCCCGTCGTCCTATACGTCTCTGGCGGCAATACACAAGTGATCGCGTACAGCTCTCAACGGTACCGCATTTTCGGCGAGACTCTCGATATCGCCGTGGGAAACTGTTTGGACCGATTCGCCCGCACATTACACATATCCAACGACCCTTTTCCGGGTTATAATATCGAGCAGCTTGCTAAGCAAGGCAAGCAACTAGTAGACCTTCCATACGTGGTGAAGGGCATGGATGTCTCCTTTTCTGGGATTTTAGCAGCGATCGATTCATTGGCTGCGACGTTGGGGTTAGGAGGGGAGGAACGGGCGAGAGAAGATGCCGAAAGGGCCTCGAACGTGGAGCAGACAAGCCAAGACAAAGACTCTGACAACAAACCGACACGTGCGGATCTGTGTTTCTCTCTTCAGGAAACTGTATACGCTATGCTTGTTGAGATCACTGAGCGTGCAATGGCACATGTTGGATCTAAACAAGTTCTTATCGTTGGCGGCGTGGGCTCCAACGAGAGACTACAAGAGATGATGGGTATTATGGCACGGGATCGTGGTGGCAGTGTTTATGCCACGGATGAACGCTTTTGCATTGATAATGGAATCATGATCGCGCAAGCTGGAATGCTGGCTTATCAGTCCGGCTTCCGGACGCCTCTGAAGGACTCTTCTTGCACACAGCGATTCCGGACGGATGAAGTGCATGTTAAATGGCGGGAGGATTAATGTTGCATACTTTGGGGTGATCTTGAAAGGAAACAGTCACCGGGACGGAATAAAATAGATATGATTATGTGATATGAAAGAAAGAATACATTCAGTGCCATAAAAGACATCTGTAAATCGATCATACTTAGACGAGTATTGTAAGAAAAGAACAGTGGTGCTTCAGTGGGATGTTTCAAATGAACCTTTTAGCATCTATGGGGTGCTTGTAAATGAAAGTCCTCTGCAATACTAAAACGCGACATGGTTCTACTCGATACTACACCTAAACTAATTAATTACTTCTTGAACTTCATCATCGTTAAGGGACACTTCGCTGTATATTATATTTCCGATGTTTCAGCTTAACAGGTTGGATGAATTCTCATAAGATAACCCGGTCAACAAAAAGACACGCAAAATTGTCGCTGTGTTCTGGAGATATTGGGGATGAAATGCAAAATAAACCACAGAACAACGCCGAACTAAACTCCAATTTACAGAACGTCAAATTCTTGATGCAGTGCGAGGACTTTGCATAATGTCCACAAGTAATATTTCATGGAAATGGCTCGAAATATCAAAATCCGCAAGTGTAAAAACCCACACCATATGTTGAAAGTATCGCTTACTCCAGATCACCGGTTGGTTTGTACAAGATGGTTGTGACATACTAATGAAAAGAGTCAATTTATTTCTCCAAAATAAGATGTGGCCGGGGGGGGCTTCTCTTTCTCACCTTTCGCTTGTATCTGGTCGTCACACTCGTGGCGAGCACACCATTTTTGATGCTGCTGGTGGCAAGATGGTTTAAGACAGTGTGGTTGGGGTAATTGAGAACACTGCTATCATCTTTGGTAGGAGTCGTGCTGTTGAGAATGGATTTGCCAAGGAATAAAGGTAGACTTGGAGGTGTCGCAGTGTCCCCAATGACATTCGCAGCTTGAATATATGCCGAGCTGTCTTCTTCTTTATCTAGATCGGCGAGGAACTGGGGGATTGCACCGCCGAAATCACCGGGTGGAACCTCTTCCTCGATTTCTTCTTTTTTCGGGGGGTCGTCGGTTGTCTCTTCGGATTTTCCATCCCGGGAGCCATCCACTATATTCTGCGAGTCGTTGACACCCGCCGGGGTGTCGTTGTCTCTGCGGGCATCGTCGGCGCTGATTTCGACGTAATTAACGAGGTGGTTGGTGAAATCTACTGCGGTTGGAAGAGTATCGGATGCTCGCATTTCTCCGTCGACGATGAATTTCAAGTGGTGGGTTCCGGGGCGGAGATTCAATGTAGTCGACATGACTGCACCATCATATTCGCTGTGAGATAATTAGCCAATCTGCATCCTGAAATTTCGATATTGCTCGAGGCCGTGCTTACCCTCGGTGTAGTCGGAACTTCTTCTCCCAGTTGACGAAGGTACCAGTAACATAAACTTTTTGACCCGGTGCAGACCACTCTATAATTGTAGGCACAGCCTTTCCAACTCCACTGGTGGTGAACGGTTGGAGTTCATCTGCCAACTCCTCGCCGTCCATGGCCTCGCTGCTAATATGGGAGGTCTCTTGGTTCATTTGGTCGTCGAGAAGTCGATCCGCTGGCATCGATTGTATGTGCGAATCTTCGGGCCCCATAATAGGGGACCCTGGAGTGGCGGTGGAATCGGCGATAGGTAACGGCAATCGTGGAGGTCGTTGGAGATGTTGCGCTGCATTATAGTAGGAACTCATGGGCGGAGCCGAGGGGGCCATTGGATCGCGTCCCGCGGCATGGCGCGCAACTGGGACTTGCACCGGGTTGGAGAGATCCGGCGCCGGGACATTCTTCCCCTGGGTATATTCAGGACTCTTCGAATGATATTTCTCTGACTTTCTGGGGGTTCGGGCGGTAGGTTCGGGGGTGTTTCGTGACTGTAGCTGGTGTTGAACGGAGCCTTGGTAACCCGCTGAGTGGCCGGCAGCTGTCTCCCTTGAAGCGGAAGGGTCGGCTACAGTAGCTTTGTGTGTCGGAATCGCATTGAGAGATGTTCGGCGAACGACCTTTCGATCTCCCTGGGTATTGGGGACATGGCCCGACGGCGCATCGCCGCCGCCTTTGGAAGGGTTATTGCCCATCGAAGGCGGGGTAGGAAATGCAAGATCGAGTCGACTCTGAGTTTTACCGGAAGGTGGGTGGGAGGGGGGACGTTGGCGGAGGAGAAGGGCGTTTGAGAAAACCACCGATCAAGTTGAAAGCATTGGAGATGTTGTCCTTAGATCATGATACGCCAAGGAGTACGAGGTAGAAGGTCGAGGCCCATGACGCTGGGTACCCAATTGGGACAGGGCTTAGGGCTCGGTCATAATTCGGTCTTCCCCAGGTTCTCGACAGAATGGAACAACGTATTTCTTTATTTTGTTGCGATCCATGTAGGTATATCCATTATTCATAACTCTAATCATTTTATCTCATACTTCGGCCTACTTTCTTATAGATCAACAGGGTATTACCATACAGCTGTATGCATACTCGGAGCTCTCTGCTGTATATTATACATCACGTGATTAATCGCATTGGGATCGGCCTTAGTCATCCGGGATCGTCCTCTTTCGGCGCCTATAATTGGCAAATCAAAGATCGGTGGGAAACCATTCACTCTAGCATTGGAAACCAATATTCCTGAAGATTGGAGCAATATTCTGGCTTCAAATTATGCATACGATAATCATATTAAAAGCTGCGTACCCAAGTCAATTAATCATCTTGTTTTATATATACAGATTGATAATGGTATGGTGGGGCTGAATCACGTTACCTCTTGGCGTTAAAGTCATGGGAACATGGAACATTAGGGCTGTTTGTCAGTTGACAAGGTCATGATGAGCACATCTTCCACAGGATTCTGCCTCGGTATATTTTTCCATGAAATAAATTATAATATTCGTGAGCGTTTCCATTCTTCAAACAAGAGCAATGGAAGGAGTGGTGATGAAATGTTCGCCGCATCGCCGCAAACGGAAGTAAACCTTGAATCGTTGATAGCTTCCGGCGGAGAATCCGAAAGCTCCTGAACCCAGTTCCAACAATAGACATTGTTTTAGAGAAGTCTCTCTCTATTAGGGAAATTTCGATGCATAAGGATGGGTCGGGCCCCTGCTTCGGGATCATCGGACAAAAAACGGCGCGTGCCTTGATGATGATCAGTTCGCCCAACACTGCCCTCCATAGATGTAATGCTGATAACATTGTCATCGGCTCTCCATGATCCAGTCTCATGGTCCGTTTTCGTGCAACTATTTCTCATTCCAGAGCATACTTCTAGGTCAAAAGATCCCCTTCTCTGCTCTATTTCCTTTTTGAAGTTTCTCCCGCCTGTTCGTCACAAGATGCAGACCCCGTCAACTCCAATATGATAATTCAGCACATCCCACCGAGAAACAGAAGCATCATAATTCCTACTCCAAGCGGGAATCTTACTCCGATATATTGAAGAATAGAATAGCCCGACCCAGACAAAGAAAGCACACCCACGGACCTTCTTTGCGACACTCTGAAAAGGAACCCGTCCTAGACAAAGACGTTACATCGACCGATTTCCATGGCTTTTACAGAGCCCACTTCCATCGTACCAGAGCGCCTTCACAGAGCCACTGAAAAACTGAAGACAGTCATCAGAATGAAGTCCTGGCCACACACCCGCTTGCGAAAGCAGCAAAAAGAGCAGCCCGGACGCTGCCACCTCATGGAATTACCAACCGAGTTACTGCTTGAGATCAACTCCCACCTCACGCTGATCCCCGAAGCCGCCTTCGCCCTAACCTGCAAGCGCATGCTCGCTATTTCAGGCGAAATTCTCAGCTCGAAATCCTTACGATTCACCCGCGACTTCGCCCCTCTCTTTCACCATTATCGCAATGGCCATAATTTTGCTACACCACGGTGGCAATTCATTACACTCTTGGAGAATAGCCGCTGGCGCACATGCTCCAAATGCCTGAAGTTACACCCACGAACCGCCTTCTCATCGAGAGAAATCCGACGCAAGGCTGAGAATAGAACTTGCAATGTGGGTGAACTGGCCGGCATCGTTGATTTATGCCCGTGCAAGAAATTGACATTCCGCGATAAACTGGATCTCATCGACCATCTTCGGGTACGAAAGATTTCACTGCGAGCCCTGAACTCGCAGTTTGGAAATACGGTCTCCGATCGCTATTGCTGGCACTCGTGCACGGAACAATACGGACCAACTCAACTCAAGATGTCATTATTCCCTGAGTTGAATGAAGAGGATCAGTTGGTTATGCACTCGGAGTATCAACTTACAACCGAATCCGGCCAGGTTGGCAAGGAGGAATACATGACACCGCGCTTCGGATGTGCCCATCGCTCTGTTGACCTTTGGTTATCGAGTGTTTACCAGTCCACCATTTGTCGGGTTTTCGATTCATTTTGTGCGTCTTGCAAACGGATTACGGTTTGTAGTGCGTGTGACACAACACTCAAATGTCGTCGGAAACAGCCGTACAATACTGAAGAGGGCGGCAAGGTCACATACTCTTTTTGGACACAAAGATCTCTCGGAGGCTCTGGCAATGTGCCCGATGCTGCTTGGGGGGGTTCAAAGAATCCATCCTGCAGAACCGTCCATTGGCGTGGAGAACTGCAATGAGCTCTGTCCTTGGACGGTCCGCGAACACCCACCCATCGCATTTTCGCCTAGTTTAGGCGAAGAGATAATTCAACCTGGAATGAGAGAGTCTCCTATGAACTCTTTGTATTCTTCCATTCAAATGTTGTGAATGAGAGACTTTGAATGGACGGCGATGGGGGCTGGATGTCATCTGTTGTTATATATACCCCTATATCGTATTTAATCTATTATTTTTGTTTATGGATAGCTTCAAGTATTGATACAATACAATAATAACTTCATAAAAGAATAGCATTTACAAATTCCAGTCCAAATTGACTAGGCGAATATAAATAATTTACCTAGGATAGTACTCTAGTAAGGGTGGACCTCCGCCTATCGCAATCGCTTATCAGCTGATCTCCAAAATGGTTTAAGGTAAGGTCCGCCCGTCACCCGACGCGACGTCTTGCAGTCTTCCGAGTCCAACCCGCACGCTTTGGGGGATCGGCTTCAGTTGGCACATTAAGGCGATGAGCTTCCCACCACCACATTCCGGTCAATACCCGCAGTATATACCCCCGCAGTACCAAACGGGGCAGGGACAGGGCCCGCCGCAGTTGCTCTACAGCAATGCCGGCACCCCGGCACCGGCGCCATACAATGGCTACAACAAACCGCCAATCTACCCTCAAGGGATGATGCCCTACCCTGCCTATCCCCAATACCACCAGAACCCGCAGCATCCTGTCCAACAGCCGGCGCCGCATTCCCTTCCGCAGTTGCAGCAATCTCCCCTCATCCATCACCGGCAGCAGCAACAGCAACAGCAATTGCCGCAACAGCAGATGCAGCAGCAACCTCAGCTTCCGCAGTTACATCAGCAGTCCCCTCGTCTACAAATGATACAGCAACCTTCGCACCCTCAAATACAACAACAACAACAACAACAACAACAACAACAATCCCCGCGCCCCCCAGGTGCAGCAATCTCCGCGTGCCCAGGTTCAACAAATCCAACCGCAACCCCAGCTTTCTCAAATTCAACAGCAATCCCCACGCCTTCAGATGCAGCAGCATCAATCTCCACACCTTCAGGTACAGCAGCAACATCAATCCCCACGCTCCCAAGTACAGCAATCTCCGCGCGCCCAAATCCAACAAATCCAACCACAACCCCAGCTTTCTCAGATCCAACAACCATCACCACGCCTTCAGGTGCAGCAACATCAATCCCCACGCCCTCAGGTGCAGCAATCTCCGCGTGCTCAAATCCAACAAATTCAACCGCAACCCCAGCTTTCTCAGATCCAACAACAATCCCCACACCTTCGGGTGCAGCAACAGCAATCGCCACTTCCTCAGGTACAGCAATCCCCGCGTGCCCAAGCTCAACAGCAATCACCACGGCCCAAAGTCCAACAATCGCCGCACCCTCAGGCCCAGCAGCAATCGCCGCGCCCTCAGTTGCAACCATCTCCGCGTTCCCAAATTCAACAGCAACCCCAACTTCCTCCAATACGCCAACAATCTCCGCGCCCTCAACCAGAGCAGTATTCTGCCGGCCCAACCTCCCAAGGCCAGGTTCCTATGGTGCAAGACCCACCTATCCTTGCTCCGCAACCTGTGAAGCCAGTGCCTCGAGCACCTTCATCTCTTCCGCAGGAGATGCCACAGCAACATCAGTTCATCAACCCAGCTGAACTCTTCGTCCAGACCCCGCTGCCAACTGCGCCACGGTCGCGATACACCTCCCTGCCACAGTTTGACGAGATAAGTAGCGCTTCGCTGGCTGTTGACGAAGAACCTCCACTTCCACCGAAAGTGACTTCAATGCCAGCGCCGGCAACAGTCTCGGCGCCAAGTCCAGCCAGAAATCTATCAGTCCCAATTATTACACCCCAACAAAACATCCCAAATATCCAACCGCAACAGACTTCCCAGGCCCAGAAACCGCAGAAATCGCAGAAATTGCAGCAGCCTCAACAACCGCAACAGTTTATCAAGCCTGAAAATCTCACGGCCCTGGATCAGCCACCTGCTACGGTCGAGGTTAAACTTCCGCCCTCTGCTACGCCGACGCCAAAGTCAAATATAGTACGACCTCAACCAACACCTTCACCCGCAAACAACACCGTTCCACAAGTGGTGGTTCCGGCACCATCGCCGGACATTCAAGCAAACCTGCAAAAGCAATCCCCCAAGAAACCACAATTGAAGAAACAACCCAGCCAACAGTCCATCGAGAAGCCAGCAAAACCCTCCAAGCCGCCTGTGGATTATCAAGTCTTGCTTCTATCACTGGCAGACGAATATTTGAATGCCGCACATAGCCATGGAACCACCATGGCACTGTCTACTAGAAGGGATGAGGTTGAAGAGTACTATAAGCTAATCTCCACCGGGTTAGGATGCCTAGAGGCTGTTCTCAAGGTAGGCAACTGTCAGTCTTCATGAAATATGCGCCTGTCGCTCACTCTTTGTCGATAGAACTGGAGACTGCAACCTCGCAAGGAAGCCTTGGTGAGACTTCGATATGCGCGGACATTATTTGAGGAAACGGAGAATGATCTTGAGGCAGAGACTGCTTTGAGCAAAGGCGTATGTGTTCCTCTCTCTATTGTATCGAGTTTAGCGGCTAACTTTTACGAAAGATTGATCTTTGCGAACGAGTGAGTACCATTTAATATCTTGTGCACGCACATGAAACCAACTAATGCATCTCAGAATCGCATGTTAGATTTGAAGTACAGCATGCAACATCTTTTGGCGCGAATGCTTTACAGGTCCAATCCAAAAGCTTCTTTGAAAGCAGTTGATGGAATGATCCAAGACGTCGAAACGTATGTTATTCCTTTTTTGCGCGCTTCTGCAAAACTGAATACTAATTAGCCGACAGATATCGACATGCGGCCTGGGAGTATGCATTTCGCTTTCTCCGTGTCTCGCTGTCATTGTCAGCGCCTACGCATCAGGATTTTGTTCAAGCCCTCCAGCACCTCCACAAGATTGCAGCGATGGCCAATCGAAATGGCGATAGAGCAGTCGCGGCAATGGCAGCAGTCACCGAAGCGTTGGCACATCTCCAGCAAGGCGCCGGCTCTGATGCAATCGAACAAGCACAGCGTGCTGTAGCGACCGCCCGGAGCCATCAGCTAAATGACGAACTCCGCCACATCCCTCAGCTTTCTACTTTGATCCAGATCGTCGATATTTGCTGCAGTTTACTTGAGTGTGATGTGAATCAATCGGCTGAAAAACTCAAGGTTATGCAAGCCCTGGTGGACGAAACGCTGAATGACGCTAATTGGCGCCCCGATGGCTCCTTTTCCGTTCCGCTTAATGGAAAATCTGCCGGTCCATCGTCAATCGACACTGGGGACATTCTACAGGTTCAAAGTGGGACTTTACTGTTGAGCTTTAGTTGGCTTCCTCAGCATGATCTCTATGCGCTTTCATATTTCTTGAGCTCCATTACGCTGAGTGCCAAGAATTCTTATGATGGCCGGAAGGCGGAAAAGTTCCTCGACGAAGGGATTCGCATGATCCAAGGTGAGTATATCATTAGATTATCGGTACCCTAGCTTTTTTTTTATACTCATACATTTGCAGGGGACTTTACGACGCCACAGGAGATCCCGGAAGCCATGGTCAATGCGGCCAGACGCGTTGAATGGCGCCGAACCCTCTATTGTAATTTCCTTCTGCAACGGGTCTTTCTGTCTTGCTCTAGAACCGACTGGGATTACGCCAGTCAAACCCTCAAGACCCTCCGGCAGGTGACGCAAGAACTTGGGCCCAACCTCCCCAAATCCATCGAATGTCTCATGGAATACGCCGCCGGCGCCATCTTCCAAGCGACGGGAGATCTAGCATCCGCCTTAACGATCTTCCAATCTCCCTTGTTAACATTATCTCCATCAGCGAGCAAGGTCTCTCGCAACGACCCCTACCGCGACATCTGTATTCTTTCATCGCTGAACACAGTCCTCATTATTCGGGACCCGGCCCATCCAGCCCATCCCCACCTCCCCGCAATCCTGACAACCCTCGAATCCTTCTGCCAACACAGCCCAAACAAGTACATTCAAGCGGCTTATTTCTTAGTATGCTCTACCGTGCACACGGACTCGACCATCCAAACAAAACAATTTCTCCAACAGGCTCTCCAGTCCGCGACGGCTATCAGCAATAGCCAGATCACATGCATGACTCTCACATTCATGAGCTGGAAATATTTCCGCGGCGTCGTGGGCGAACAGGCTGAAAAGAGCGCAAGGGCCGGTCGGGCCATGGCGAAACGAGCAAACCACCGACTATGGGCCAGTGTCACGGACGAAATGCTCGCCGATACCCTCGAACGGCAAGGCAAGGGCGAAGAAGCTAGCAGTGTGCGTGAGGAAGGTCAGCGACTTGTAATGGGTCTTCCGCCTGGCTTGAAACGTTCGTGAGAATTGTGGATCTCAGATCTTTGTCCTTGACGTTATTCTCTTGATGCTTTTTTGTTTTTATTGGACGGAGTTCGTGTATGATACCATCTCATGACTATGGTGCAAGGCATCTCATTTATCTAGTTTAGCCGAGATAGACCGGCGAGTATAGCTGGTATATGTACCATTTATGACAGTTTGAGTTCAGGGAGTATACACCTGCCTTTTTAAGGGCAGCAGGCAGTCAAGTAGATACTTTAAATGACACCCGGCGTTTATCTAGGTGCCGCCAGGTCTAGAGAAGCCCAATAAACTTGGGTTGGAGAAAAGATCATACAGATCTGATTAAAATCCCTGGTTCCTTGCATTCGCCTTAGGATCCTCTCACCCCGGCGTCTACTTAGTAAATGGCAGCCAAAATCAAATCCACTGCATTATAAAACATAAACCGAACATCAGTGCGGTATGGTATAGAGTCGCGCTCTCGCGCCGAAAAGAAGCAGAAAGCTCAGTAATAGACATATAAGGCATTCAAATTATCAAAGGAAGAGAAATGTCTCAAGAATGGGATTAAAAACCAAAACAATTCCGTTCAGCAACAAGCACTTCGCTAAGTTGACTTGACTCGAAACCTCAAGCATAACCGTTACGCCCGAACAACTGCGACTAAATATGCACCCGCCACACCCGTAGGCGCCGCAAAACAAGACAAATGCAAGAACGCTCAAAAGGCAAAGACAAAGACAGAGCCACACGCTCACGCTCACGCTCACCCCAATCCCGCCCAAACGCCCCGAATCCGCCGCGCGAGTTGGATATCCTTTTGCATGATAGTGACGCGCTTCGCGTGGATGGCGCATAAATTCGTGTCTTCGAAGAGATGGACCAGAAATGCCTCGGAAGCTTCCTGGAGCGCTTGGATGGCGTGCGATTGCCAGCGGATTTCAGAGCCTCGTTCGGCGGGGAGGAGGTCTCAGGGCTACTTCGCGGACTAGGCGGGCGAAGGGGAGTTTTGCGATTAATAGGTCGTAGCTGCGCTGGTAGCGGCGGATTTCTTTTAAAGCGACTGTTCCGGGCTTGTAGCGGCGGCGTCGGCCTTGGGGGGTTGGGTCGCCGGCTGGAGGGTTGGGATAGGGTTAGTGGGTGGTTGGTGGATTGGAGCGGTTGGCCTGGGGATGGGGGAGGAAAACAAGGACCCTGCTTGGACTGGACTGGACTGGACTGGGTTTTTGCGCAGACAGATAGGGTAGGAATGGGATGGGGAGGGACACATACGTTGTACATTTGATGGTCGCTTTCCGGCGGGCTTCTTTATCGGTGTGCCGGTGGTTTTGCGCGTTGATGGGGAGCTTGGGCCCGTTGTTGATTTTTGTGCTGGGCGGCCTTTGCCGACTTTGGATGCGGTTTTCACGGGCATTGTTTGGTGATGGTGATTCTCGTGACGAGGGAAATGATATAAAGCCGATGGCAATTAGGGAAAGTAAAGGACTCCCAGTTTAGGAACGAGGCGCTGCGATTGAGTGTATGCAGGTAGGTAGGTAGCTCTTCGATGCGCTTTTTCGGATCGCCCTTGCAGGAGGTCGGGGTAGAGGGAGGGGATGAGAACCGGTGGAAAGTATTATCAGAGGGAAAATCGGGTCAATAGTGGGGGGAGATAGTTGGTAGAGTAGAATAATTGGAATGCCAAAAAAAAGAGGAGGCTGGGGGCATATGAAGATGAAGAGGTAGTTTAACTCATTCCGTCTAGTCGCGATCTCCCGCGTCTCCCGCGCGTCTGTCACGTGCTGTACTCGACAGCTTGGCCTTTGATATGCAGAGCTGACCTCAACTTGAAGGTGGCCTCTTATTGCTCCTTCTTCCCTTTCCCACTCCCTCTCCTCATAATCTCATATCATGGCTGCCCTGTGGGAAAACAATGGGCAGATGGGTCAATTTCCCCTAGAACAATGGTTTTATGAGATGCCCCCAGTGACACGGTGGTGGACCGTGGCCACGGTGGCTACCTCTGTACTGGTACAGTGCCACATTGTGACTCCATTCCAGCTCTTCTACAGCTTCCGCACCGTCTATGCCAAATCACAATACTGGCGTCTACTATCCACATTTCTCTACTTCGGACCACTAAATCTTGACCTTTTATTCCACGTTTTCTTCTTACAACGTTACTCACGTCTTCTGGAAGAATCCTCTGGTCGCTCCCCGGCTCAATTCACCTGGTTGATCATCTACGCTTGTTCCTCACTATTATTGATCTCGCCATTCCTCTCGTTACCCTTCCTCGGGACATCACTCTCTTCTAGTCTCGTTTATATCTGGGCGAGACGCAATCCGGAGACTCGACTCAGTTTCCTCGGTCTGTTGGTGTTCACGGCTCCGTATCTTCCGTGGGTGTTGATGGGGTTTAGTCTGGTTGTGCACAAGACTGTGCCGAAAGATGAACTTTGTGGCGTTGTCGTCGGACACGTGTGGTACTTTTTCAATGATGTTTATCCCACTCTTCATGGTGGTCATCGTCCTTTTGATCCGCCGAGATGGTGGCGGCGGCTGTTTGAGCGCAATCTTGATGCTGATGAGCGAGAACGCCCCGGCCCCACTGATGCGGCGGTCAACCAAGACTTTGCTGCTGCCGCCGCCGCGCCCGAAGTCCGATAAATGTGCTCTACGACTATTTCCTATGGGATTCGGTCCCCTTTCAGTGTCCTTGTCCTTGCCATTTGCCGTTGCCATTGTATCGGGACGCGTACTTCCGAACCTTAAATCAAGGCCGTGGCGAAAAGCCAATTCACTAGAGTTAGTACCCGGCGCGTGATCATCTTAAAGCATAGTTTCTTGAGAATGGCGCCAATCTTGGATTTCGAAGAGGAGAATGGCCACGGAGAAAGATTCAAGTGATGTTCGAGTGATGATGTACACGTAGTTTGAGCGGGTTGGCCCTCTACTTTGAGAGAGATTCTAAAATTGCAAGGTGGGGTGGTTCTGCCTGGTCCTAGGGCTGTGCAGGTGCATGCCGGCCGTTTGAGAAATCGGAGAGGAATTGAATCGAATTCCGATCTGAGGGTGGGGTGGGGTGCCGAGGTCAACCTTTCCTCTAGGAAGGGTCGCCTTATCGCCTTGCGGAACGTCGAACCGAAGATGAAGTGTGTTGTGCTTATGAGTAGGAGATTCGAGATTCGAGATTCCTCATTTGTTTACATTGATAGCGATAGATACCCTATTATGATTGTTACTTTTTTTTTGAATATTCCATTTTTATTCCAAGGTGATTGTTCGTACAGCCGTATTCTTATGCTAATGTCATTTTTCTGGATCCATTCGTACTCGTATTTTCTCCCTTATTTCGAACTTGATCTGTTTTGTGGTATTTCTGTTGCCTGGACCCATTGATGGATGGACGTTGGCTGTAAGGATGATTGTCATATCCAATTGGATTACACTGGTTAGCCATACGCGGCATACTTGATGTTCTCTTTATCTCCTTGCACCAGTAAGTACCAGTGGTGTTACAAAACTTGAACTTAGCCAAGTAGTCATGGCCAAAGCCAACGCTAAGAGCTTGGCTGAGATATGCCCAGAAGACAAGAAATCGGCATTTAGCCCCGAGAGTGAGGCAAGCAGTATGACATGGCCATGGCACGTCTATGGCACGAAAGAATAACCCGAATGGGTAGAGAAGGTGGCTCAGCGAGGACGGTAACCCATGCCCCGAGCCCCGACCACCCACGTCATTAGGCCATAACCTGGAGATTGTGTACATGTGTCTTTATACAGGGTTTATAGTAATATAAAAAAAAGAGAGAGAGAGAAAAGAGTGGACACAAGACTGTCAAATGAATCCAGTTAAAATGAGCAGTAGGCCCACGATGGATGGTGACGAGGTGACTACCAAAGACAGAGGTACATCGTGACTATCGAAAGCAGATGTTCGCACTTGGTCTGTGCTGTACCAGACAATACAGTAAGATACAGTGCCCAGCATACACAGAGTGTGTACTGTACCCCAGCCATGGCCCACCTTAGTCATCCATGATAACCAATCACAATCCACCAAGATCAAAACTCAGCCACCACAGCCTGAGCAACCTTACGTACTCGTACTCGAAACCAATTCCTTCTTTGTCAATCTGACTTTTTGCCCCTTGTCTGTTCTGGGTCCCTGTGTGTTCTCCAGTTGGTTCTCCAGTACTGTACCGTATGAGAGACCAGCACTAATCCATTTGGAGAACTCACCAAACCTTGCTGACCCACTTTGTTCAGAACTTCGCCGCGCAACCGCTTGACAGCAAAGAGAGATCCCTCAACACTCCCTTCTCCTTTGGCCTTAGTTCTTCGCTTTTTTTCCCTTTTCCCCCTTCCCCACTCCGTCGCTCCTTATTATTGTCTCTTCTCCCCCTTTTGGCCAGTGCTCGCCCGTTTCTTCAATATCTCACCGTCCTCCACTTTTTCTCTCCCCCCTTTTGACGATCCATCTCACCCACTTCCACTACCACCGTACTACCTTTCAACCTCTCAACCTCTCGTCTTCTCTTCTCACCACCACCACCACCCCTTCCCTTGACGCTCTTGGCGCCTAATCTATTCTATACGCCTTTTAATATCTTCCATCAATCTACTTATCCTTCCAATCGTGACCATCGCCGAACAATCTCGTGTCCCTTTTGCATCCCGCGCGGCCTTGGGCCCGGTCCGTGAGATTCTCACTCCGACACTCCTGATACTCTCGAACCGAATTCTTTGCACTCTTTGCCTTTGATTCCATTGTCTCGGTTCTTGCTCTTGCTTGGCCGACGCCCACCTCTTTCACCATGCGACGCGGACTTCTCATCTTCATCTTGGTGAACCTACTCGTCCTATCATTCTTGATCCGCAGTGTCTCGACTCTTCTGTCGCTGCTGGTGGAGGATGCCTCGGCCGACGCGATTCACCGCGCTGAACTCCCCTCGCCCAATTCAAGCTTGATCGAACAACGCCCGCAAATCATTCCCAAGATCATTCACCAAACATACAAAAATGAAACTATCCCGGAGGTTTGGGTTGAGGCGCAGCAGAGCTGCATTGATTTGCACCCGGACTACGAATATATTGTATGTGACAATTTCACAACTCAGCGCTTTCCTTCTGCATCCAATCAATTGACCTGGAACTAATGATTGTTTAGCTCTGGACAAATGAAAAATCCCGAGACTTTATCGCCGCCGAATACCCTTGGTTCTTGGATACCTTTGATGGCTACAAGTATCCTATCCAGCGCGCGGATTCCATCCGTTATTTCGTTCTAGCCCACTTCGGTGGCACTTATATCGATTTGGATGATGTTTGTTACCCCCCACATATCTCTCTTATATGCAACTAATCACTGACCATGCTCTTTTTTCAGGGCTGCAACCGCCGATTGGACCCCCTGCTTGCCTACCCCGCATGGGTACGACGTACCGTACCAACAGGTATCTCAAACGATGCGATGGGCTCAGTTCCCCAACATCCATTCTTCCTCCGCACGATCGAGTTATTGCAATCATATGACCGCAGCTGGCTGCTCCCGTACATTACCGTCATGTATTCAACCGGGCCATTATTCTTGTCCGTGATCTGGAAGGAGTATATGCGCGATGGGCCTTCCGAGTCCGGACGCGTTCGAATCCTGATGCAGGAAGAGTACAATAAGCACTCGTGGAGTTTCTTCACACATCACACCGGCAACAGTTGGCACGGCAAGGACGCGCATCTTATTTTCTGGGTAAGTCAAGCTTTGTCAATATCAATATCCTCTTTATTCGGGGCGAAATCAATACTAATTTCATTCGCTTAGATGGGTCAACACTGGATGTTCCTCACCTTCCTCGGCTTCCTAATCGCAGCCGTCGTAGGTTTCTGCCTCTTCTGGACATACGGCCGAGTCATGCTCCTCGGATCGAAATACCGCTACCGCTACACGAAAGTTCCCTCCATAATCAGCCCGTCGCGCCTTTCGTCGTCCCCATCGCGTCGGGCGAGAAGCTTGATGCCTGACTTTATGCGACGCGTCAGCTTCAAGGAAGATGAAGAATCCCGCGGCGGGTCGACGGAGACCTCTTACGAGCTTGGTCGACGTGATGATTAAGAAATCTACTCGGATCTCCGGATGATTTCGTTTTGTATTTTGTCTTTGATTACGGCCTGGACACGATCTGCTCTGCATTAGCCATTTTTGTACATCTTTTTTTCCTTCCATCCCCTTTTACGAGTTGTTTGGAGCGTCTGCATGTGGTTGAATCTCGTGGCGGGGATCCCGGATTTGACTGCTTCCGCCTGGTGCATGTGCTGCACTTGGAGGTTTATATTTGTTTCACGCGGACTGAAACGCTATCGATTGACTCGTTTCATTGTCTTGTTGCGAAGGACCTGGACCTTTTCGCCTTTTCGCCTCTACCTCTTTTCCTTTTTTTTTCTATTATGATTTTTATTACATATGTTAGACTTACTTATATTCTCTGGGTCTGAGGGGCGAATTGAATCGCTTTGGCACAAACAATCAAAATACTTTACCTTCGTGCTTTTGGAAATGAGTTATCTGGATGTATGAAATAGATCTGAGCTGGGAAAGAATTATCTACCCGCGGGGGTAATCCGAGTCTACGATCTCGGACTACCCATGAAGCTAAGGTCGTGGACGTTCTATAGATAGGCTTCTCGCGGCGTTGGGCAGAATTTTTAATATTTCATGGCTTGCGGTAGTATTTATTCAACTTCAAGTTGTGTTGCTTACTCTTTAGTTATACCCCGCATTCCGAGTCTATCAACTCCCCTAACTCGACCGTATCCCCATCACTGGACACTCATTTAGGCGATGCAGTTATCTTCAATATTCTAAGACGCTTTTTAGAATACGACACGGGCCAATAATATCAATCTAAATCAAACCTAAGTGAGACTAGACTAAATAAAAATATGTCCAAGAACGATTCTGGAAGGTCAGGAAACCTAGTAGTAAGACTAGGCCTTCATGGAAATTTATAGTTGTAGCTTCCCTTGACTGGGTCCACCATGATCATGTCTCAGTTATCTAGCGCATAGGCAAGTTCGTTTTCATAAGTATCTTTCTTCAGAGGGTCGGGAATGGAATTGGGTGAGGCCCAAGACACAGAATTCTTTGATACCGATATCTTGAATTGTTGGAAATCGAGTTATTGGTGAAGTATTATATACAAAATCACGCTGAACTGGGGTTTTGTTCGTTTTGGCTTGTTTCTCTTGGAAGTAAGGTATGGTCTTGTTATCCACTGATCTGGTTAGTCGCCTATCTTCACTGATAATGGCTGGGCGAGAGCAAATGTTGAATTTATGTATTCCTCTTTTGCTAGCGTGAGTTGGATTGGATTTCCAAGGTTCTTGATGACAGAGAGTCCTGGATATATCACATACTAGTAGATATTAGCGTCTCGCGGCCTAGCTTCCAAGGTCTGCAGTATTACTCCGAATACTCCCCGCGGCGCTACGGTAGTCACTCACAGGCCGAGACCTATTGTACATACTCCGAGTCCCCCGCAGAAGTCCACGAGCCTTGATATACAGAAACCGTTTCTATTCCATTCCAATACTTACCTAGTCTATGTACCATCTTCTGAACAGTTCCGTTCTGAGTCCTTCGTCTCTCAACCCACGACCATAAGCAACTTGAAATTCCCCCACGGCATCGGCAAATTTCCTTCACCAACCCCTCTCTCGACCCACACCGGTCGAGTCCGCCACGGAGACGGCGACGAATCGAAAGACCGGGGAAATCAGCCAACTCGGGCGCAGATGGATCTGAGCGCCGCCCGGCTGGGCAAAGGCTTGTCTTCGGCTCGGTCAACGTCCGCGCGGCCCACAAATCTCCAGTCCGGGGCTCCATTCTGGGGTGAGGGATGGGGAATTTCTACGTACGGGGATGTTTCCACAGATGTGGAGGGAAATAGATGCTAGGGTTTGCGTGACATTGATGGGGTGTACAGAGGGTTGCCCCCGAATTTACTCCCCGAGTCTTCCTGGCGGTTCTTTTTCTTTTTCTTGTTTCCGGTTGCGGTGTGACGTGCTAGTCTATCACTTTCATCTTTTCTAACCAAGACACGAATACTTGGATCTCTTGGAATTTTCTAACTCTTTTAACTTAGGTTGAAAGACACGACGATGGGAATTACTGCGCTTAGAGGGAAATCCCTCGGTCGTGTTATTGGTCTTGTTGGCGCGGTCGGTTTCGTGCTTCAGGGTTATGACCAGGCTGTTGCTAATGGCTTGCTGACGCTGGGGTCTTTCATTGCTATCTTTCCTCAAATCGATACGGTTAATACTCATGGGAGTCAAAAGTCGCACAACTCTACTATTCAAGGTTAGTCTCGCTGAGTTGGCGAGCGAGTCGGGCAAGGTAGAGCTCGTTAAAGTGAGGCACCGTGCTAATCTGTCATATCATTCCAGGAACAACGGTCGCGATCTATGAAGTCGGTTGTGCTTTGGGAGCCTTGGGATGCGTGTTCTTGGGCGATAAACTTGGTCGTCGGAAGACTATTTTCCTTGCGGGATGTGTTGCGTTGGTTGGGATCGTTATTCAGGCAAGTCCCTTTGCGCTGGGGCAGTTGATTGCTGGACGAGTTATTACTGGTGAGTGATTTGTCTACTTTTCTTCCTATTTTATTACAGTTTTGTGGTATCTGTGCGGAGGCATTGCTAACGATGGGTCAGGCTTGGGTGTCGGTGGTTTCACCGCGACAATTCCTATGTATGTCTCTGAGTCTTCTGGGGCAGAGGCTCGAGGACGCATGGTTCTTTTAGAAGGATGGTTTGCCATTGGTGGTATTGTTCTCGCAACTTGGTTAGAATTTGGGTAAGTATTGTCACCAACACCATCATGACTGCGCGAGACTAGACTGGATAGCCTTGTTAACTTCTTCTTCCTCGGGATAGATTATACTATGTCAGCGATAACTCGGTGAGCTGGCGCTTCCCCATCGCCTTCCAGGGCATTTTCGCCCTCGTGGTCGTCTCGTGTATCTTGTTCTTACCCGAGTCTCCTCGATGGCTCGCTCGCGTTGGCCGGATGGAAGAAGCGGCCGAGGTTCTTGCACGGATGGAAGATGTACCTGTGGAATCTGGGCACGTTGCACAAGAGCTGGAGATCATCAAGCAGTCTCTTTTCCTGGATGCAGCGGACGAATCGACGGTTTCAACTTCGCCTTTTGCTTTGACGAATAATCGCCATTTGCACCGAACCGCCATTGCCGTTGGTGTGAATATTCTCGCCCAGATGACTGGCGTTAATATCATTACGTTCTATTCTGATACTATCTTCGAAGTAAGTAAAAGAATTGGACATGACATACTCCGACCGATCCCCATGGCTAGCAGCTTTCCTCTGCCAGCAAAGCAACCCCATAAATATGCTCGGACCATACATACTAATGAATCCTCGATAGTCCGATCTGGGATACTCGGGTACAATCTCACGCATAATAACAGGCTGTCTGCAAATCTGGCAGTTCATCGCCGCCGGCCTGGCAGTCCTATTAATCGACCGAGTCGGCCGTCGACCATTACTTCTCACAGCAGCCGCAGGCATGACAATTGCCCAGACCTGCCTCGCAGGCCTGTCAAGCGATCTCTCCAACAAATCCGCCGCGGGCGCTTCAATCCTATTCTACTTCATGGCACTTTTCTGCTTTCCAATCGGTCTCTTCTTGGTACCATTCATGTACGCCGCTGAAATCGCACCGCTACGCACCCGCGCCAAGGTCACCGCCATGTCTGCGGCGGCGAATTGGCTTTTCAATTTTCTGCTTGCGGAAGTGACGCCGATTGGGTTTGCTAGTATTCAGTGGAGGTATTACATTGTTTATGCTTGTATTAGTGCGGTGGCTTTTGTTAGCTTTTACTTTTTCTGTCCGGAGACGAAGGGGAGGACTTTGGAGGAGATTGATGATATTTTTGTTCAGTCGGAGTCTATCTTTGACCCGGTGCGGATTGCGAAGGAGATTCCCTTTCAAACCGAATTGCTGGCTCATGTTGATGATGCTGAGAAGGTTGGGGCGAAGGATGAGTGTGTTGAAAATGCGTGATTGTAATTCGGACGTGGCTACGCTCGAATAGGTTGACGCGGTTGTCTTTGGCAAGTTTCGCTGTCGGATATGGTGGCGAGAAGAGATCAATGGCAGCTGCATGGGTCGAGATAATTGACTGAATGGGAAGTGTTAGCAGATTTGTGAGTTACAGCGAGGCGCCTAGCATGCTTTTCCAGCCTTGTGGCGATAAAGGATTTAGTTATAGAAATAGAGCTTGAAGATACTAGGAGTTATCCCATTATTAAATCTATTTAATAAGTACTTAAGGTAAGCCATAACTACTTTACCTGATCCCTGAAAACCTCCATGGTCTTGTTTCTCGCCTTCGCCATCGCCATCGCCAATCGTCGCCATGCGCCCGAGATCAAACCTATTTTTGTATTATCTCGCTTGAACTACTTCGATTATCTACAAGGGCTTGAAACTACCTCTGTCAATTTTCATCAAGGACCTCGTGTCCTCGATCTATACATTGACTGTTCACATCTACTCTGGCCCTCCGCCCTGTCACATCTATCCAATAAAAAGAAATACCCGAGTACAGGTCTTTTTAAAGCTGTATGCCTTTCTTCGAAAGAGAAGTGCCGACCTCATGTTTTTCCGATTTTACTAATTCTTGTTAGGCGCCCTTCATTGATTCTCAGATCCGACATGACGATTTTTGCAAAGCTCATTAATGGCGCTGAGAGGCCTCAAGCCTCACGAGATGTCTTAGGTTAATTTCCCAAATTCGTGAACTTTATTTGGGGTTTGCTACAATTGATCCGATAAGTCAAAGTCGGCTGCAGAACTACTGCAGCATAAATGGCTTAAAATAAACCATAGGGTTCAACAAGTCATATGGTGGACGATACTAGTAGCTGCCAGGGGAGCGGGGCGAAATTATTTTACTAAACTGCTCGCACCGGCGCTCCTTGTCCGCTCAGATCTTCATTTTGAGCACTCTCTCCGTATCAAATTTCAAATTGCCACTTCCTTTACCCGTGGCGAGGTTGCGGTTTTGAAATCTAGAAAACTGTGGTGGATCGAGAGGATCCTACCTTCTTAGACCTTTTTGTATGTACAGAGTAATACTCAGTCGCCATTTATCACGCGATTATCATTTTAGAAATACAAAATTTAGTGCTCAGTACTCCGTAGCTAGTATCTAATTTCTTCTTTGAATAAAGAAAATCGTGCTCAATAGCCATCACCCAATCGATTCTTTTTCTGTGCAAAAGTAGAACCAAGATTCAGCTCGCCAAAAATTGCATCAGATAATTTCGTCCCCGATCGCTCCAGAAAATTCCTGCTTTTTTGGCCCCCAAATCGAAAGTATCTGGACTCCAACAAAAATTCCCCACCACGCCCTACCTAAATCATGTGAACCTTGACCCAGTACGGAGTACCGCTCATGGGTCAAATTTCAGCGCCAATCAAAATCATTTCCCAACGTCTTGGTGGACGGATTCAGCTTGGCCTCCAATAGGCTGTCTTGGCAACATGAACCTCGCTCGCTAGTGACTTTAAAATGATTATTGACCGGCATGCTGACACGTATATTTCCCATCACAAACCGGAAAGTTATATAAATAGAATAAGCAGAGTCTCGATTTCGATTTCGAAACACCAATTAGCTACGGCTGAGGTTCATGATACACATTGATAAGCTAAAAATTCATGGTGGATCTGAAAGATAATAGGGGCGCTTATTAGCCTTGATTCAGCCTTGGCTGCTTATGTACGTACATTGACTCCTTAAAACAACCCTGGAAGCTACCCCGCGAAAGCTAAAAGCAAAAAAAAAGTGAAGAATCCTCCCCTCCCTATGCGACGGCAATAGAATATGCAGACAGAGAAAAAAACTCGACGTAAACCGATCAAATCCTGCTTGGAGTGTAATCGCAGGAAGCAAAAGGTACTCAGATTACATTCACACTAGCTGGCGCTCACTAACGAAATATCAGTGTGACCGCCAAAAGCCATGCAACCATTGCATAAGCCGGAGAGTCAAGCACCTCTGTGTGTATACTACCAGCAGCCCCCCAGGCAGGAGGGCCCGAAACCGTCATCAGCCTAATCGACTCGCAAGCCCTCCTCTGCCTGTCGATAATTCTGGAAGAAGTTCATCCAATACACTCTCGCCCCACGAGTCTGATTCTGAGACAGAGAAAGGTCCTCTGGGGCCCTTGACTCAGGAATCACACGTGCTTCAGGATCCTTCTCTTGATATTTTTTCGAGGATAGACCCGGTCCGATCCCGGCATTGGGGGCTATGGCCACAAAAATGTCTGACAGATCTCCTCCTCCGGATATTCTTAGAGGAAATCAATCGCATCTATGAAGTGATTCACGGGCCATCATTCGAAGTCAAGTATGCTGTTTGGTGGGCTGCGCAAGAAGCCAATTCCAATGGCCACCCAGGCGCATCTATTGCCGATGAGGATATTGACTTTGGCATTCTCATCATCCGATCATGTCTACTGAGTCTTCAAACCCTTCCGTCACCGGAATATTGCAGCGAGGGTATTTTAAAGACCCACCCAGAGGCTGTAGAACAGTGGCTTTACACGCTAGCCAATGAATTGGACAAATCCCAATCGCCAGATAGAAAGCCTTCTCTAGAAACAGTGCAGCATCGCTTTTTCCACACAGGATACTCCAAGAACTATGGAAAGATTCGAGAGAGTTGGTCAAGCTTGAGCGCTGCTGTTAAGGATGCGCATGAGATGGGCTTGCATCTGAAAGACCCTGGCATCGCTCTTGATCAAATGGAGATGGAACTACGCCGACGTACTTTTTGGAACTTGTATTTCTGGGACCGGTAAGATCTTTCTTCTGGGCTTCGCGACTACTTGAATGACACAGAGACGCTAAATGGAATTCTAGTTTTATGTGCACATTTTTTGGTCACTGGCCACTAATACCCGAGGGCTATTTTGATATCGAGCCGCCGCACGACAACCTCCAACCGCTAACCACTAGCCCATATGTGCTTACACCATTCACGGATCATATATTCCACATCAAGATAGCACGTTATATCACTGCTTTTTTGAGCCCACCATCATGGACTAGTGATCAATACATCCCAGCAACGGTCTCAGAATTCGCCCAACGCTTTGATGAGGTTATCATTGATCAATTGCCCCCGCCACTCTGGATGGAAGGCCCTGATACAAGCTGGGACAGCATAGATCCCGTCCTTGTCATTAAGAGGATGCGCCTCCAATTGCTTATTTCCAGTACCAAATCTTCGCTCTATCGAGCATTTGCAGATCCATGTCACAGCCTTCGACCACAGGAAATGCTCGAATCACAATGTACAACAGACCCTCTGGCGCTCTCTCATCGAAGATCTTTGATACAAACGACATCACGCATGATTTCCTTGATCACACAACTCTACGTTCTTATCGACAATAAAGGGGGCGGCCCGCCAGCCGAGCGGCTTTTTTTGCTTCCAATATACCTTGTCGATGCCCTGGCATCGCTGGGGGTCTCTTTGCTTTCGATCCAATTCGATGAAAGGAGGTTTTTAATCGGCGGGATTCGAAATATGATCTACCCAGATTTGCATACCAGCTATGCAATATTTCTCGAAGGATACAACTTGCTTTGTCGCCAAGCTTCACTATACAGCCTGGCCAAGAAAGGGGTTGAAATTTTAGAAAGTCTGAACATCGCCTTAGACCCTCTTATTACGAGTGTGTCTATTGGCCCTGGAACTATAATACGGTCTTGCGATGAGAGACAATCTACCCAAACAGGGGTGTTGGAGGCTCAACAGGCTCCATCATCCTCATATCCTCATTCCATTGGTGGGTATGATCGGGCTTACACAACACTTCCAGAATGGTTGCCTTCTTTTTTGCAGTCACCAGGGCGATCGTGGCTAGTGAATAACCGAATGGCTTTTGGGGATTCCTTGGTATAGCTTGTCGCTATTCGTGACTTTTCAACTCCGTGGAGAAACATGATTTTGTTATACTCTCCTTTACACATGCTATAGAGTATACCAGTCATTGTATTACATTGTAGTAACCGATTTAGGCCATTTCTTATTATAGACAATATCGGAATGAAGTAATATTCATCTAAATTGTTCCATCCAGAGATTTACATAGCCTGGCTCAAGCACTGTTGGAAATATTCGCATTCTGCTCGGTGAAGGTACCAGCCACCAAGGAGGGTCAGTCTGCCCTTTCCACGGTGTTCTATTGAAGATAGGCTAGGTTGAGTCTCATTTATTAATTCCGAAAGGAGAAGTCTACTCCGCCATCAGGTATCACTAGCTCTAATACAGCAAATTGAGAAGACTTTCTAAATGGAGAAGAACCTCGGTGGGCTATTTCCTGTGACATGAAGTACGAATGACGTACAGAACTTAAGGATGCCCTCAATGGCAAATTGTGGCTGGTATCTACAAAGCGCTTACCGAACCCACATAGCAGGGTAGTACAGTGGCGACTATTAACTAACGCTTCCAACCACAGCGACTCTTTCAAACCATGAACAACAGAATCCCGATATGATTACTCTAGTATTTAAAGGCTGTTCCAAAGCTGAATGATACTATACTAAAGGCATATGATCCCGAGCAAGTCATATATTAAATCATTGTTGCAGGCCAAAAAATAGACCATTCCCACCAGGGCAGCGTCAAAAGACCCTGTCGTATATACATCGCTCAGCACCGGGATATGTCCACTCCATTAACTCCCATGATCAGCCCAACTGACTCGACCAAAAATGAGTTCACCGACAAAATACCCGACAAGCACTGCAAAGAAGAATCCAACATTCATCGTCATCACCGCAATCATTCTAAAAAAAAATCAGATGAGGGCTTTTTTCCTGATTAGCAACTAGCATGATAAGAACTTACAAAAGATATGCGATTCCCTGGCTGACCATTCGCAATGCCGCACGAGGAAGATTGACCGACAGCCGCCATGTTTGGATCAATATTTCCCGTGAGGGTCTATCCTGACCACCATTGATAAGAATGGGGTATCCTGCGTTTCTCGCAGCCCAGTAAGCGTCTAATTTGGCAAGCTTCGCGCTCATGGCTCGCCAAACCACGGCGAGGAAGAAGAGAAAAAAACCAAGTACCCACGTAGCCACCAGTACTAGTGGGCATCCACGAACTGGAGTACAGCATCGTGGAAAGATTCTCGGTATTGAAAGCCATGTTCATCGAGTTCGAGGCAGTAGATGTCATCACTGTACTAGACGCACTCGTAGTTGTTGTTGACATTTGCATGGCGGGCAAAAAGAATAGGGCAATGTCATTTAAAACTTCAGGAGAAGGCACCGATGTGATATTGGACCGCAGATTAAAGGGGGTAAATAATCAGAGAAGTGCCGACAATATAAACTCTAGTGGAGCACAACATATGGCAGAAATTATTCCTTCTGGAAAAAAGAACTCCTTTAATCCCAATACAGGTTGCTCTCGGGATCAGAATACATAAAGTGTTCACGTAAAGAAATTTTAGGACATAGACCGGGCCAGTCATGGAATATCTATTGCGGGGATGAAAGGCTCTCCGCAAGACTGGGAATTGAATAACTTCAGGTAGGCTCCTGGAAGCGAGAATTCTCGCAAATGTGCTCAGCGCTATACCGGAAGCGGCAAGGGAAAAGGCTTTATCAGACTAAGCTTTTATATTTGGGTCATTCCCAGGCTGACGGCGCGGGTCGGAAGGAAGTGGGGCGGCTTTGTGTGTACTAAGGTCTACCGTTCGGATAAAGATTATTAATTTGATGAATACGGCTGGTGCGATTCCCCTGCTGGGCTCTGTTCACCCTTTATCAACAGGAAAGATTTTTTCTTTCTCCATATTCTAGCGCAGGTTCACGTCGGCCAGTATGGATATGGACAGCAATATGTCTGGAGGCCCTGGCCTCACGGATGCGGGCCTAAACATGTCAAATTATACAGCTGCCTCGGACTTTCTTGCTGCGCTTCTCGACGACACCACCCTGCAACAGTCTGACTATGCCATCGCTAGAGCTTTCTGGTACGGTATTGTCATTGTTATTGTGCTGACAGGCATGGTTAACTGGGTTGAATGGGGCCTACTGAAGTTGCGGTTGGTTATACTAGATATGGCGTTGGTCATGGTTAGATTACTGACTCCTAGTTTAGGTTACGTGTAGCCGCAGCAAACCTTCCGCGATCGAGAAATCCTTTTAACTCGGTTGTGCCCTTCCTAGCTTGTTGCACGGCTGTGATTCGAGAAGTTTCCTACCATCAGATCACCCCCACAAACTCGTGGCTTCGTATACCAGCAGTTGGATCAATCCTGTTGATTGTCATATATTTTGGCTACATCATGGGATTGCAATTCTTCGATTGGAACTATCCCGGTGCTCAATACTGGGAGGCACAGGGCCTCCGCGCGGCCTGGCTCACAATAGCTCAATTCCCACTTCTCCTTCTCCTTGCTGGGAAGCGGAATCTGATCGGATACGCAGTAGGCGTGTCATACGAGCGACTGCAAGTTCTGCACCGCTGGGTAGCAAGAGTCATGCTGCTGACTGCTACAATTCATGGTGGTGTTCAAGCCTATGGATGGGAAAAATATGATGTGATGGAAATTGAGATTAGCACTGATAGCTGCATTCCTACCGGTATGTTTGAAGATCTCCATACTTAATATTTTGGGTTAACATTTAAAAAGGCTTTTCTACTTGGATCCTCTTACTCTGGCTCGTCTTTTCCGCAGCTGCTCCAATTCGCAACTGGCGTTATGAGATATTTGTGGTTCAACATATAATCACTTTCATTGGATTCGTCGTGGGCATTTTCCACCATTTGCCTTCAACGGCCTTGAGCTCAAGGTATGTTATTATCCACTTATTATTTGAAAACTACAACAAATTCATTCTTTATAGGATATATGCTTGGATCGGAATCGGTCTCTTCATCTTTGATAGGCTGGTCCGGACCCTTATCTACGCTTTTAATAATATAAAGCCCGCAAACTCCACCCTTCATAGCCTCTCAGGAGATGTTACGAAAGTTCGGATAACTGCTCCCCAGATCAAAAAATGGAGTCCAGGACAGCATGTCTTTCTATCTATTCCTGAGTTGGGATTTGGTCAATCGCACCCGGCGACCATTCTGTCTGTTCCCTTATCCCATGATAATGATCTGGTGCTCATCTTGCGAGCTCACCGAGGCTTCACCCAGCGGTTGCTCCGCTTGGCCAAATCATCTTCCGCGGACCTATCTCGGGGGGTTCAAGAAAAAGAGAACGCTAGAAAGGAGGACGCTGTTCAGGAAATAAAAGAGAAGTATTTTTCTCTCATAGGCGGACCTTATGGGGGATCACACTCCGACTTTGCGGCATTCGACACCGTCCTACTCATCGCGGGATCAACTGGTGTTTCATTCACTCTACCAATACTTCTCGATATTGCTCACAGGTCAAAAAATCAGAGGCTTTCAGTTCGCAAAATAGTGTTTACTTGGGTCATAAGAACCATTTTGTGCAAAGAGTGGATTGCAGACGAGTTACAACAAGCAACCGAATCGCTGCTCAACGTTGGAATTGAAATTGAAGTGAAAATTTTTGTGACCTGTGAACTTGATCCGACAGAATATTTAACGAAGAAAGCAGGATGCAATTGCAGGAAAGTCGAAGGGCCGTGTTGCTGTACTGATTTAGGTATTGAAAAGCGCCAAAATGCTTCCAACGCACTAATCACCCAAGCGAGTGGTGATTTAGACATCGAAGCATGTTCATCCAAAAGTATACCCCAAACGCAAACAAAAACAGGCAACGCGTTTCGATCTCCCTGCTGCACGATCGAGTCTGGCCGGCCTCAGCTGAAGCCTCTTATCTGGGACCTACTGGATTATGCCAAGGGAGAAACAGGTGTGGCAGTGTGTGGACCGCCGGGCTTGGTGAGCTGTGTTCGGAACACCGTTGCTACCGTTAGTGAGCAACGTGGATCAAACAAAGGGACTGGCGCTGAAGGTGTGTATCTACATGCAGAGAGTTTTGCGTGGTGATACTTCATTGTAAAGTTAAGGTATCAACTCGAGCAGAATTTTGACCTCTTAAATAATTGAATGATGACAAAATTCAAAATGAATCTTATAGAGGTTTAAGTATGCACCACTCGTAATGGGAACTAGTCGTGGCATTCCGAGCGTACTGGCCACATAGAATTAACGTCCAAATTGAACTTTATTGCAATTCTACCTAATATATCAATGCAACGGCGTAGTGTATATATTAAATAGGGGACTATCTAATAAATTTGCTAATTCTGCGTTATTCAACGGCAAGATTAATGGTTTTGGAGATAGTGGTGACCATCGGCCGTACTGCTTTTTGTATGCTTTGCGGAGCTTCGTCTTAATAGTTCTCTTACGTTTTAACACACTCGTAGTAATATTGTGATTAGTATCCTTGATACTTAGTATCCTATTCTGGAATAATAGCTTAATCTGACACTTACTTTTTTAATATTGTAATAGTGTATGTATAGCTGCTATTTTAGTAACAGTATTAGAAGTAATTATAGCGCGTTTGGTGTCAATCTTAGTATATTAAAATATTAAATCAATATTGCGCTAGTATTTTAGTTAAATCCCTAGGATATTGGCGTATTTAGTGTAATTTTTTTAGTATTTTTCTATACCTTTAGAAGATATAACTTTAATACTAGAGAATAAGGGAAACTCTAGTAGTAGTATTTTTCCTTATGTATAGTATAATCAAGTATAACTAGATTATTAAATATAGGTATCTCTTTCTCTAGAGCCTTAATCATTATAGTACTATTAGTTGATGTAAGGACTCAGATACTTTGAAAGATAGCAGTAGTATTGAACGAAGGTATTAAGCTGAAGAGAGAGAGAGAGAGAGAAGGAGAGAGAGAGAGAAGGAGAGAGAGAGAGAAGGAGAGAGAGAGAGAAGGAGAGAGAGAGAGAAGGAGAGAGAGAGAGAAGCTCCTATCGCAACTATCTATACATGAGCGGCTGTCTGGGTCACGTGCCGTAGGCACCGAAGGCTTCTATCATTATTTAGTCTCCCTCTTTAAAAGGCCTAGGTCCTAGGTCTCAGCTTTGTCAATCTGGTGGTACCGGAGTATTGTCGTTGTTGTGATCCGCCTTAAATTCGTTATTATTCGCGGTGTCTAGCTATACTGAGAGCCTTATAGGAGGTCTAGACTTGTTGGGATAGTATAGATAGAAGGTGGTGAGCTTCTCTGGAGTATTCTTAAAGCTACTTATGTAGTACTAGGTAGTATCTTTATTTCTAATCTAGCTAGTCCTATATTATAGCTTCCTTTAGTATATTCTTAAGTTCTTAATCTTGTTGACCTTATACTTCTCTTTATTATTATTAATAATAGGTAGTTTAGTATTAAGGATCTATCCTATTAATAGTACTGATTAGGTACTATAGTGTAGTTTTTTAGTAGTAAAAATAGAGTAGACCTTTATACTCTTAGAGAGTTATAATTTTTAGGTATTATCTATTTTTTTTTAATAATTTTAAAGAGTCTGTAGACTTAGTAAGAAAGTTTCCTACTTAGATATCTAGTTTTCTATAGTTTAGTAGTAATAAGTATTTAGTTATATAATTTAAAGTTATCTTTTTTGTATTATTTATTAGTCTACTTTTTTATTTTTTTCTAAGTGATTTTTATAGAGTTATAGATCTTTTTCTAGATTTATTATATAATATTGACTATATTATAGATATACTAGGTATTATTAGTAATTACTTTAGAGATATTAGATATTTAGTTAAAAGATATATAAGAGTTAAATCTTTTCTCTATAAAAAAAGGAAAGTATCTAATACTATTTTAGAGAAGTATTATAGTAGTAAAATCTATAATTAGAAGATATTCTAACTAGTTATTCTATTAGTAGTTTACTACTATATATAGCCTCTATACTATATACTTATTAGTAATCTCTATCTATCTATCTATCTATCTAAGAATAGTATATAGTTAATAGTTTATACTAGATATCTAAAATATAGTTAAACTTCTATTAAAAGATAGATATAAATTAGGGACTTTAATTAGAGATAATAGTATCTAGAATACCTAACTATAGTATAATAAAGTAGATAAATCTGAATATATCTAGTTAAAGAATCTAACTATAACTTAGTTAAAGATATAACTAAGATATAGTTAAGAAGTTTAATTAAAAAGATATTCTAAATATAAGGATAATTATACCTATTTAGGTTAATATATCCAGAACCCCGAGGTCGCCTAAACCTATACAAAATAGGATCTAAGGTCACCTAAACTTACTCTCCAAATAAGAGAGGTATTAATAGCAAAATAATATAGTATTATTATAAAGAAGCTATTGGATATATATAGGGCCTGCACCCTCCAGACAAATCTAAGAGCATCATCATCTTCAGTTATTCTGAACACCATCCTTATTGATTACTTAGTCAATCATCAAATCTTTCTATCTATTACCTAATAGGTATTTCTTGAAGCTATTCAGACCTCCTCTGTAGCTTATAGGACCCTAGGTCTTATAGGTTATGAGCCCGGACTGGCTTAAATCTCTGAATAACTTCATCTACTTTCTATTTAGGAAATATTTTTATTTCCGAACTATATCCGAACTTTTTCCGAGATATCTCCGATATTTTTATCCTTTGTACCTGGTACCTGACTTACCTTATATTTATTACTATATCTTTGGTACCTAGTACTTGATCACAAAATCTTCTCTTTATAACCTTTTATCTTATACTACCAAGTTCCTGGTTACCTAAAACTATACAATACCTCTTATATATATATCATACTATATATACCTATTATATTCATATATATATAGGTATTGATATATATATCACTATGTCTTCCTTACTACGGATGGAGGTGCCTAAGCTATAAGGCATCGATAATTATACTACGTGGGCTATTAGGGCTTATGCCCTATTGACAAAGGAAGATCTAGGGTTTGATGCCCTAACCTAAGATGGCAATATATCACTGACCAATGGAGCTCTAACGCCTGCTAAAAATAGAAAGGCGCTAGTAATTATTAAGCTTCTTTGTGATGATAACCCCTTACTTTATATAAGGGATGAAACTAGTGCTATATCGGCATGGCAAACGCTGCATGACATATATAACCCTAAGGGATTTACCACTGAATTCCTTATATTGAAGGATTTCTTTAATACGTCATTGGACGAATTTGATACTATGGAGGCTTATCTAAGCAAGATCAAATTGCTTATTAATGACCTTAAATTAAAGGATATTATATTACCTAATCAGGTAATAATTGCCTGGGTGTTAAATAGCCTGAATGAAGAATATTTAGTATTCACTCAAAATATTACGTAATTATTACGTAATAACCCCAAGGCCTATACCTTTAAAATATTAGTCAAATGTCTTATTGATAAATCATGTAGTAAAGACGAGAATGCTATATATAGCATAAGACAAACAAAACAAACAAAACAAACAAACAACCAACCATTCTGTTATATACTATTTTACTATCTATATGCTCACTAAGGTAATATCAAAAAGATACCTCAGAAATAAGGCAGAAATATTAAAAACCTTTGGAAAAAATAGCCGTATTAAGGTAAGTTCTGTCAGAATTGTCATATGACTAATTATTATATAGATAATTGCTTCTATCTATATCCTGATAAGCGCCCTAATTGGTGGCATGATAATTCAAACAGTCTAAATAATGCAAACATAGCAAATAAACCAAACCCTACAAAACAGCAGGAACAAAGTAATATAGCAATTATTAATGCTATACTGTCAGAACGGGAAAATGATATATCAAAAAGATCGGATGAATCAGATCAAAATATGCCCTTTTCGGACGAATTTCTGGTCAATCAAAATTCGGATATAGATATTGATAATATGCTTCTTGATATTAATGATAATGAAGAAGTAAGTGTAACAATAAGCTCTAAAAGCAAAAAAATGCTTACAAATACAGGTTATTTGAATATCATTAGTAATAACAAAAAATTAACCTATTAAATTGGACCTATTTGTAATTTTATTATTGATACTGCTGCTACTATATCTGTTATAATAAATCTAAATTATTTTTTCTATAAAAAGGCTGTATCTGAAACAGTAAACTGGGGCAAAGCTCTAAGAATACCAATAAGATATAAGGGCTTAATTGCTATAAGGACTAATCAAAATTTTATATATATAATGTATAATGTACTATATATACCTAAATTAGGTATTAATATCTTAAGCACTAATAAGCTTAAAGGTATATCAGTAGACTTCGGCACGACCCACGGGTACCCATGGGTACCCATACCCAACCCATCGATGGGTTAGGTTTTGGGTCCAAATCTCCGACCCATGATGGGTTATGGGTCGGAGCTCAAAACCCATAACCCATCATGGGTACCCATATGGGTACCCATATTGCTGTAAACAGGGCAAACTACGAAAAATCTCGTGATTGCATAATTAATGCAAATTTAGCTGTAATTTTAGGTATTCTAGTCACATGTAAAAGAACCTACATGATGATGATAATTGATTCAAATTAATTCTATTATTCAAATTCTAGTACTGCTCAAAATTATTGTCCTCTCTGTGTTTACGCTTCCTTGTAGACATCCGTAGCTGAGTCCCATTCTCTGGTAATAGAGGCTGCTGAGGATCTTGACCCTCAACACCAAGATCTATTAATTCAGTAGTAGAAGCTACAACAATATCCTCCTCCTCCTCCTCCTCCTCCTCCTCCTCCTCCTCATTATCACTAATCGAAACTATCTCAACATCCTGGAGATTCTCATCATTCTGTTCCTTTGACATCTCAATCTCATCCAACGTAAAATACTTCTCAAGCTGCTTCATCTCTGCCTCCTGGAGATCGAATCTTGATGCACACAGGAATAGCATGATTTCTTCAATAGTCTCAGACTTTAAACGGCCGCGTCGGTAATGGCAGACATCACGCGCGGTGTTAAAAAGCCGCTCAACACCAGCACCAGTTGCAGG